ATAGGGAAATTAAAATCATCATGTTTATCATACAGCTTTGAGGCAAGCTGACCATTTTGGTCTCGTTGTAGGAAAAGATCGAGATAAGCGGCTGATGTAAAAGAGTCTGTCGAGTCACTGATCTCCTTTTCTAGTAGGTATATAAGATGGAGGTGCTCATGAAGCCTTTTATTATCTAATATATTTAAAATTGGAATTAAACGACTTTGCATGATGTTTCTGACCTGTTAGAATAAGCTCATAGATGAAATCAGCCTCATATAAAAAAAACAAGTCAGCCAACAGAGGGGCATGATTTTACCCATAGGTATGTCAATAGTCTGTTGTAAGATCTTATCAACAAACTCGGCGAAGATATTATCATTCAGAAACTCGGTCATGTTTATGATGTTTTATTGCGATGTAAGCGCTGATAACATTAGAACGAAGGTTTTCTTTTAGTTTAGAATGGGGTATAGAGGTGTACTGAGTTGAAAAGTCAAACGTTCATATAGAAGATGTTTTCGCTGATAAGATAAGATAAAAAAAAATAAGTGTGACAACTGCACATAGATAAATCGTTGATATGTACATGTAACAGTGAGTCTTGTGTCCGTTTAAGTCCGATTACTACTGTTGGGTCTGTATCTGGAAACCAGAGATCACAAACTACAGCATGGCTGTCAGTTACAATGTCTTATCAATGATTTACGAAGGACTGATGTAGAATCTCATTATCTCATTTGTTCATGTTTGATTGAATATTCTGTACGATTCCCATCTCGTAGTCATGTTTATCAGTCACTCATTGTATATAACACTTAATCCAAAAGCAATATGTGTTGTGCAGTTATCTTATTAATTATCAGGTATCAACTTACCCAAGGTTGGTATAAAAACCAGTTGAGTGCATTGTCAACAGAGTACAAATACATTAAACGTGACTGACCGGATTTTGTGTGTTCAGCATGATACTCTATTTCAAGGAACAGGATCAAAGATATATATATATGTGTGTAGAATCTAGTAAGTAATATCGACTATATGGTCCAAAATTAGTACTGGAGTAGAAATGTTCATCGGATGCCTATTACTGGAATAGATATAAGATCAATAAAATTATAACGACAGTACGTTCAAGAGAGTTGTCGATTTTTTTAGGCATTCTGCCCGTTTTTAACAACTCAATATTACATAAATTACATCACATGAATGGAACATAAAGCAAATACAAAGTTATAAAGTAAAGTAGTGTAAATATATGTGTCTCGATAATCCCTTCGGCCGGTGGACGCTGAAGGCTCTTTTATATATTTTTGTACATTTAACTGGTTGCTTTTATCAAAATACTTGTTTTTGTAACTACACACACATTCAGTAAACTTTTTAACGAAATCAAACAATTATTTGTTTAAAGTGTGACCGAGATGTACCGGTGGACTACTTTTCTAGGATTGTGACATGCAATTGGTTTTGTTGCGATCACAAATACGCTTTGTCTCTACAGTGCAAAATCATACTGAGATTTTAACAAACAAACAAATAGTTTAATCACCGTCTTCCATACAACTACTTAGGCTGGTTTTTTTCCCCATTATAAAGGGATTATCAAGACGCCTTGATCAACACTACGGATGAATGTATCGATAAGAACCAGTTGGAAAGGTGTTGTCAAAAAGGTGTTACCAAGTCACTTCAAAAGCACTCTCAGAAATATTTTCAAAGCATTAAAATAACGAGAACAACGTTTACCTTGTCCTTATCCAAACCCCAACATTAAGGACAAAAGCATGATGTTTTTACCACTTAATTACAGTGGTGATTACTTACAAAGCATCTTTCACGTGATTTTACAGTATGAATTTTCTCATTTCAATAATAGCACTATTGCTACCATCCGAATCGTAAATATTTATATGTAGTACATAAACAGATAAGCTATGAACTTTTCCGGGTACCAACTTTTCCATATAAGTAGGATAGCAATGTTTCGGGAGATACAAATTGATAAAGATTATAGGTAAATAGAAACAATCCTGACCAGGTCTGGTTCATGTGATATTTGCTGCTAGAACTTTGATAAATAGAGTCATTTTTCGCCTTTGATGGGTTGTAACATGGGAATTTAATATCTAATGTTTTCCGTGTTAATATTTCATGTGTTTATATGCATTTTAATGCTTCTTTTCAGTATTTCAGTTTCAATTTAAAAATAAGCCATTGGTCCTTTCATTTCCTAATTTCATCATTTATTACCCTTCATTTTCTTTCATTTCTTAATTTTACCATTTCTTACCCATACATTTCCTTTCATTTCTTAATTTCACCATTTCTTACCCATACATTTCCTTTCATTTCTTAATTTCATCATTTCGTACCCAGTACATTTCCTTTCATTTCTTAATTTCATCATTTCTTACTCAACATATTTCCTTTCGTTTCTTAATTTCATCATTTCTTACCCAGCAGATTTCCTTTCGTTTCTTAATTTCATCATTTCTTACCCTTTACATTTCCTTTCATTTCTTAATTTCATCACTTCTTACCCTATACATTTCCTTACATTTCTTAATTTTACCATTTCTTACCCATACATTTCCTTTCATTTCTTAATTTCACCATTTCTTACCCTGTACATTTCCTTTCATTTTTTAATTTCATCATTTCCTATCCTGTACATTTCCTTTCATTTCTTAATTTCATCATATCTTACCCGGTACATTTCCTTTCATTTCTTAATTTTATCATTTCTTACCCAGTACATTTCCTTTCATTTCTCAATTTCATCATTTCTTACCCTGTACATTCCCTTACATTTCTTAATTTCATCATTTCTTACCCATACATTTTCTTTCATTTTATATTTCATCATTTCTTACCCATACATTTCCTTTCATTTCTTAATTTCACCATTTCTTACCCATACATTTTCTTTCATTTCTTAATTTCATCATTTCTTACCCATACATTTCCTTTCATTTCTTAATTTCACCATTTCTTACCCTGTACAATTCCTTTCATTTCTTAATTTCATCATTTCGTACTCAGTACATTTCCTTTCATTTCTTAATTTCATCATTTCGTACCCAGCATATTTCCTTTCATTTCTTAATCTAATCACTTCTTACCCTATACATTTCCTTTCATTTTATCATTTCTTACCCAGTACACTTCCTTTCATTTCTTAATTCCATAATTTCTTACCCAGTACATTTCCTTTCATTTCTTAATTTCATCATTTCTTACCCTGTACATTCCCTTACATTTCTTAATTTCATCACTTCTTACCCTATACATTTCCTTACATTTCTTAATTTTACCATTTCTTACCCATACATTTCCTTACATTTCTTAATTTTACCATTTCTTACCCATACATTTCCTTTCATTTCTTAATTTCACCATTTCTTACCCAGTACATTTCCTTTCATTTTTTAATTTCATCATTTCCTATCCTGTACATTTCCTTTCATTTCTTAATTTTACCATTTCTTACCCATACATTTCCTTTCATTTCTTAATTTCATCATTTCTTACCCTGTACATTTCCTTTCATTTTTTAATTTCATCATTTCCTATCCTGTACATTTCCTTTCATTTCTTAATTTCATCATTTCTTACCCTGTACATTTCCTTTCATTTCTGTATTTCATCATTTCCTACCCAGTACATTTCCTTTCAATTCTTAATTTCATCATTTCGTACTCAGTACATTTCCTTTCATTGCTTAATTTCATCATTTCTTACTCAGTACATTTCCTTTCATTTCTGAATTTCATCATTTCTTACCCAGTACATTTCCTTTCATTTCTTAATTTCATCATTTCTTACCCAGTACATTTCCTTTCATTTCTTAATTTCATCATTTCTTACTCAGTACATTTCCTTTCATTTCTTAATTTCATCATTTCCTACCCAGTATATTTCCTTTCATTGCTTATTTTCATCATTCCTTATCCAGTACATGTCTTATACACAAATATAGGTGATATATCTGTATTGCCTCTGACATAATGATGACGCTTTGGCCTCATATTCGTGAAGTCACGTGACAGGAGTGTAGATGAACATTAATGTCAACATTAAATTTCACAAAGTGCTGTCTCTCAATGATACCAAATTCATGTTAATAGAAAGGTTCTGAATATCTGTCATGCTTTGATTTGAGAAGAACGATTAAACCAAGCTATGAGACGAAGTTACGACAATATATGCGTGGAACATGAAGAATTTGGAAGATTTTTAGTTGAAATTAAGCTGGACAATGGAATTCATATAACCTGGATTTATTCTTTGTATCAATAACACCATTGCATCCTTCATTAAAAGCTACACGATTGCACTTTTGAAAAATCGACATTGATGTTACTGTTACTCCAAATTATTGAAACGCGTTAGAATTTGTTTTCAGTAATTCACTTCCAAAATCAAACTGTAACTGCATCTACATCGATGGGCACCCAAATTTGAAATAGAATTAGATATCGTTCGAAGTTATACAACAGTAACTGCATCCAAAGAGACGAGTCACGGGGCTACCGACAAGGATATCTAATTACGTATGGCGTTGGAGCTGCTAAAAGTTAGATGCATTAAATGTTGATATATTAATGCGAAGGTATTGTACAAATTTACACGTTGTTTCATACCAGAATAACAAAAAAATAATATTTGAGATTTGCTTATGAGACTTTCGGTAACCCGTTCATGAACACCACGTCGTAAACATCGTAACGTCATCGATTCAGGCATTTGTCATAGTGTATACGTTACATTATGAATACGTTAATGATTTCCATGGGGCAACATGAACATGGATGCCTATTTTAATGCATTTTCTCGTTTAACATTGAATTGAACCTTTGTTTTTATTTTCCTTTGAAATGCCTCGTTTGTATTTTTATGCTACAATATAAGAATAGATGTCATAATATTCAAAGATAATAATTTCTTTGAATGCTACTGGTATTTTTCAGATTAATTCAAAGAATTTTCATCTGGCTGGGACTTTCGCGCTTGTAATGCTGGTCATGTTTGCGGATGCTGCGAACTACTGGGAAGATACTAGAACCGGAAAAATCCCTGAATGCCTCACAGCCACATGTGGTCGGGATGACACTGTTTGTGAGTGCTATCTCACAATTGAACATCGTTTAACAATGATGTATGAAGAATCACAAAAACTGGTTGTTCCATCAGGAGGACAACTATATGAGTATGATAACCTTCGTTCCCCAATAGATAACATACAGGAATTGCCATTCATCTTGACGGCGGACGGAAACAATTCCAGACTTGTTATCGCTATAAATCGGCGCTTTCCAGGACCACAGATTACTGCGTACGAGGACCAGACACTGATCATCCATGTTCGCAATCTAATGCTCACCGACAGTACTACTATACATTGGCATGGCATGCACCAGAATGGGACCACATACTCCGACGGTGTTGCTTTCGTTTCCCAGTGTCCGCTGGGACACGGCCAGGAGTTCACTTACAAATTTAAAGCCAAGCCACACGGCACCAGCTTTTACCATGCCCATATTGGCGATCAGAGGACCATGGGATTGTATGGAGCTCTTATCGTATATCCCAAACAAGAACTTCCTTCCACAACCAAAGCAGAACACGTGGCCATTATTCAGGACTGGAATCATGACGACGACGCGGCTAGTTTGTATCAACGCATGCTGTATGGTGTGTTCTACCAATCGAGCCGATCTCGATATCAACCAACTGCTTCGAAAGATGGTGGAATGTATAGTAGGTTTCTATTTCATTCTGGTCTTGTGAATGGAAAGGGGCGATATTACATCTACGGCAACACACACAACCAAGCTCCTCTGACTAGGTTTGACGTGATTAGAAACAAGTGGTATACCTTTAGAGTCATCAGCGCAGCCACCCTTTATCCGTTTCTTGTTTATGTAACTGGTCATCCAAAGCTAACACTTATCGCATCGGACGGGTTTGCTCTTCAGGAGATGGTTGTTGATGCTTTCGTCATTAATCCTGGGGAGAGATTTGATTTCAAAATATTTACAAATTCGACAGATGGAAATTACATGCTTGTAGCGCAGACTTTGGAAAACAAACAATTCCATATCGCAGAAGCTATCATCCACTATAGGAATGCTCCTGTTGAATTGAATCCTGGTCGACCGGCGGCCCTGAGCTGTTCTATGGGTACAAAATGTATCATTTTCAATTGTCCATACTTAAGTCCTATCAGCGGTGGTGAAAGTTGTAAGACGTTTAACGACGCAAGAACCGACGATTTTAACTCTAAGCCAGAAGACGTTACCAACATCGATGAGGAACACTTCTTCAACTTTGCTTTTCCAGGAGAGGTGGGTGATACTCCTGCGTCTGTCAATGGCCGTCAGTTCGTACCGCCAATTGCGCCATTGTACTCGCAGCCGAATGATCTTACTACTGCTTGTTCTCCTAACTGTGCTGATAATAACCTTTGTGCATGCACATACACACAGGAAATTCAAAATGGGAGAGTATACCAGTTCACACTAACCAACCTCGGGAACGGCAAAGGGTGGTCACATCCGGTACATTTACACGGTCATTCGTTTTATGTCATGAAGATTGGTTTCGGAAAGTATAACTCAACAGGTGTTCTGGTCGGTTCGACACCTGATATATCCTGTGATATTGGATCTAAAGGCTTCTGTAACAATCCTGTGTGGGCTAACGAGACATGGAGAGGAGGAAACGTACCGGGATTAGTTCTCGACAAACCCGCACAGAAAGACACCATTATAGTTCCTACCGATGGCTACGTCGTCATCAGATTCAAGGCAGATAACCCAGGTGCCTGGTTCTTCCACTGTCACATCGACCTCCACAACACGAACGGGATGGGGATGGTTATCCTAGAATCGCCTAAGATGTATCCCGACATACCAAAGGGATTTCCGACCTGTGGAACCTTCAGAACGGATACCCAACCGTTATTAGCCGCTGGTACGTATATATATATATATACTTTTACTCTTAAGACATTTTCGTCTTTACACAGTAGCTTTCTCATCATCTGAATCATTAACAAATTATTATTGATTATGTAGTTGATTCAAGTGAGCAAATGGTGATTTAAATCAAATTCATGAGAACATATCTATATTTTTAAAACTAGTAATTTCCTAAGTGCAGTGAAACAATTACTCGAAAATATTTAACCGTGTAACACATGAATATGTATATTATTGTTAATGTAGCGTTAAAAAGGACATAGGTCAGAACGCACTAAAAAGAAGAACTAGTTCTCCATATGAATGAAACATAGTTGATGCCACACGAGGTTCAATAATTACACGAGGGAATTCTGATGGGTTTTTTTTTTATTATTTAATTCAGGCCTTTGTCTAGTTTCTATTGAGTTGCCATAGTAATTTTCGCGTGAGGTTTTCTTATACGGCACATGTATTTACTTTCAGGTCCTGGGTTGAAAATGAGGTGGATTCTGTGTTTAGTTGCTGTCATTGGACTAACAATTGAATTGATGATGTAAATGAATGTAGCGAAAAATTATCATTTCACATGGTAATCTTTAAACAATGTTTGGGAATATTCAGGGCAGAGTACTCTCACTCAGACTGTCTTAGCCATGCTATTATTAAAACAGTAACTACAGCTGCATGTAGAAATATAAACAAAACAATATTGAAGTAAGATGGAACGGTCAATATGATTTAACCAATGTACTTTTCCAAGGTATAGCCTCTCTTCACTATTATCAATAAAAAATATTTCAATTTCTACCCAAATCAGACTCAATGAAACTACTAAATGTGATCTCTTTCATTTACCAATGAATTTGGCCAGATTAACATTGTCATTGCGTATGAATACATTTCATGCATTTTTTTTTTTTTTTTATTTTCATTAAAGTTGTCGCTATATTAAAATTTGTTCTTATTTAAATTTCATTGAATATTAAGTAACCACGCTCAAATGTATTTCAACCTTTCACAATAATCTGTCTTCAAATGACGGACTATTTGCTTGTATGACGTCAGACGATATGATGACAAGAAACGAAAATGAAAGTAGAAGATAAATTGCGTCAGTTCCCATGCTATAGAAAAAAGAAGCGTGAATTGAAATATAAGGATTGAATGGTAGTTCACGTGACCCAATAATACGTGCTTAAATGTGTTTTTGCGAAATCCCAGTGGATAAGCAACTGTGGAGGATCACGGTTCATAGGCTCAGGGTTCAAAGTCTGAGCCAAAAGTAAATGGTCCATTGCCCCAGTGTTCCACATCCAACCCAGACCACGGTTCATTGCTAAGGGATTCAATATCCGAACTAGAGCATGTTCATTGCCCCGGGTTTCAACATCTGAGATAGAACACATTTCAGTACCTCGGGGCGCAACATGTGGGCTAGAACAAGGCTCATTAGTTTAGAGTTCAACAGGTAGGGTGGAAGATTTTATAGCCTTGTGGTTCAACATTAGAACCAGATAACGATCCATAACCTCATGCCTCAAATAGGCCAGTCCATTGCCTATTGCTCAGAGCCAGAACACTGTTCAGTACATCTGAGTCCAACAGTTTTAGCATAGCACGGTTGATGTCCTGGTGACTCAACATCTGAGCCAGACCATGCTCAACATCCGAATCTCTCGGATTCTACGATTCACGAAGGCGACTATACAGGTCTATTGACTGGAAGCCACATACTGAGCACACATTTTTTCTTTTGTTGAGCTAAAATGCGATAAGCAAATCAGTTTTTACGAATAGATTAATGCGAAATATATTACTTACACTAAAGCTCAGCAAGGCGTCGCGCGGGGATGGTATCAGTCTTTATATACTAAGACATACACCACACTCGGTATCCCTCTTAAAACAAGGATTTAATATCCAAACTAGAACACACTCTATGTCATTACAAACAGGTGTTCGTGATAATACATGGAAACTAGTCAATGCCATGCCATTATTTTAAACGAGGAAGACATAGCTCGTCAACCTATATATAAACATCTTCATATATGCAGCGCACTCGAAGAGAAAAACACACGTGTAGTGTGAACTTCTTTTTTCGCAACGTCTTTCAGGCTTTTGATAAAGTTTTCGCATCGGGATCTATTGGTTATATTAAAATCGTGTGGTATTCTTTTCAGTATGTAAATCATTGTCGTCTTATCTAGAAACTGAAGACATTTTGAATAGAGGTAGGGTCAATTTTACTGATCACCACAAACATTTAAGAGTATCATTTAATGCAAATGTAAAGTTTAGGAATCATATCAACAAAGCATATACTTCTATCATAAGAAAATAAGTGTTTTAAGGACAGGCACATTTGAGAATTTATGAAATGGTCATTTTATCTGTCCTCGCATGTGATTGTGAGTTATGGGACAGGTGTTTTACACTGGAATCTGAAAAGGCTCAAAGTCAAGTTATCCATATATTTACGGATCTTTAACCATATGTCCGTATTGATGAGTTGTATCATGATAACTTCTAACTACAGAAAACGAGGAAACCTTCAACTATTGAACAAGTTCCATGACAAATAAAACTCATGACTTCTAAAATATTTCATAACCGCTTTTAATTGGTGAAAATAATTGTTTTACTTTACTTTTACTTTAAATAACACCATCAGGATTCCTCAATCTACACCCCGTAACCTTCACCTTCACTACCTTCACAGTGGGAATACTGTAAATGATACAGCTCGTTCTCTACCTTCACAGTGGGAATACCGTAACTGAATACCGTAACTGATGCAGTTCGTTAACTACCTTCACAGTGGGAATACCGTAACTGATCCAGTTCGTTCACTACCTTCACAGTGGGAATACCGTAACTGATCCAGTTCGTTCACTACCTTCACAGTGGGAATACCGTAACTGATGCACTTCGTTCTCTACCTTCGTTAGGTTTATTTCAATTCTCTTTGAAGTCAGAAGTACTTTCTCTCCTGCCCGTGTATTTTAGAGCAATAGCAAGTTGAATATTTTACAATTACAACTTTGACATTAATGTAGTTCACTTAATCATGATACGTTTGGTGCAAACATGGAAAAGAATACTTCGTATACCAGAGGTAATCCATGTGAGATCGTTTAATATATTGTTTCAGTGTCATCTTTGAAAGGAATATTTTGATCCAAGCTTTCATCGCTTTGAATGTTGCGTGCGGTTTGAAAACAATTTGATTCGGAAATCCTCATCTCACCGTAGACCTTAATTCAAACATAAACAGATATGTGTAGTCCTTCATTAATTCTAGAAACTAGTAGTTAATGGCAGTCGTGAATTCATGCATGTTTCATTCATAGATATTATTTTCCATGTAAATGTAGTTTATGAGAAGGTGAAAATTAAGTTGTAATCACTTGTGTCTTTCCCCTTGTTATTAGGATAAGAATGGATGTGTTTGAATCAATAAAATCAAATTAAATGAATATTAAATATTTGAAATATTTTACAACAATAAATGAATCACATGAATAGGTACTGATAAATTAATCATTTTCTGGAAAGTTTATCTTTTATTCATTGATTTGTTTTCTGTTTGTTGTGGTGGGTACTCTTATTACATAAAATCATATATCAAGGAATATCTTAAGTAAATATAAGTAGATTTATCGAGTTATATATCGTCGCCCTAGAATCAAAACTTTCGAAGTCCACTTTTTGAAAAGAATGACTTATGGGTATCATTGGATTCGGAATTTTATGTTCTATCTCCCTATATCATTCGTGTTTACCAACTGTCGTTGATTTCTAAGATATTTGAAATGCAATTTTGTTCTATATCCATTCAAGCGCTTCATAGTAAAAACGTTCTAAATCCATCCACCAATCGGTATTGGCCATATGAGTCACATGGTACATCATGGTGCAATGGATACAGAGGAAACTATGCTGAGAAAGTAGGTGCATTTGTATCCCAAATATCACTAGTTTGTTTCATTTAAGAATCGTATTTTTTGTTTTAACCATATGGTAAATATCTGTCCATAATATTCGATATAATTTAGAAGGTAGTCACTGCTTTTACACAGAAATAAGAACTGTTTTGTTTAGGAATTAGAACATTTTGGCTCTGAAATATTTTCTTTTTTCATGGAGTACATTATGTTTACATTTAGAGCAGTATAACCTTGTCCGATATTGATACATACATAGGCTTGAAGTCAATAATTAAGTCAAATACATCCAAAAGTGTTTTAAAACGTGGATAACAAATATATTGTTTTATTTCAGTTCACCTTCACCATCTCTAGTGTATTTGCCATCGCTTGTACTGATTGAAATTCTCAAATATTTAGACCTTCCTCATCTTTTTCATTGTGTTAGTCAAGCTTGCAAACGTCTACACATTTCATAAAAATTAATTCTGTGCTCTGGAGACATTTTGAGTTTGATACACCTATCAATGCAGATCAGAATGATCTTCAGTACATTTTCAGTGCATTTAGATTCAATAAATTCAGCATACTATTTGCTAATGTTCGATGTTCTACCCCAGTTGTAAATGACATTTTCAAAACAGGATTAGGATGAGCAACGGAACTTGCCTGTCTAGAACTTAATAAGTGTCGTATATTAAGTATGGAGTTCTTGTTCCATACTCCCAATATACAAATATTTGTCCGACTGTTACAATATAACAGACAAAGTGTTTTTGACTATCAAACATTGCAGAAAGCTTTTTTGTATGCTGCATTTAATAACATCAGCGCTTCTGCGATTCTTGAGATAACTGCTGAGTTGAATTTGGAATCAATAGATATATGTGGCGTGAGTCTTACACTGGAAGATTGCGGATCTGTTCTCGAAGTGTGTCCTTCCCTGAAATATTTCCAACTTTCATTGCCATATATTGTTAGTAGTGGATTGTTTCACAGTCAGATCAAAAGCAAATACGAATATTGCAAATTCAATCTCAATCGATTCATAGATCGCCAGACAAATCTTCGGTCCCGGAACATGGTACTTCTTCCATGAATATGAACTGAAACAAGCCGTGGGAACAGAGAAGTCAAGATGAAGTATTTATGGGCACAAATGAAGGCTCTGTTGACGATAATGATATCATCTTAGTTCATTCTTAATTTCCCAATTTCCGTTACATATAAACCATTGTATTGCACAAAACAAAATTTCCGGTTGTTGGCTGGATCACGAATCACAACAATTTTTAGTATAATTTGGCTCATCTGCCCGAAGGGCTCCCAATTTTCTCCAAACAGTGAAATTGACCTGCTATTAAGGGTCAGGGTTCAAATATCTTCACATGACTTCTTCTCAATAACCAAAAGGCCCAACTTATTGATATATGTTATATAGCGTGATGGAATAAAGGACTATTAACCTTGTTCAAATAATTGAACTTTATCCACTTTCAATGTCAAATGTGTTTAAAGCCCCAATATACGTAAAAATCACTATAATAAACAAACTTTATCTTATTTTCCCCGTAATATATGTAACAAAACAAATACTTTCCTTTAATTAAACAAAATAAAACTGACTGTTTTCAATTTAAATAAAATTGAAAAAATCGGAAAATAAACAATGTGGGACCCACAATAATTCATACATTACCGCTCGTAGCGATGACATTGCGCATGCTCATATTCCGCGTGTAAACATGGCAGACACAGTACAGACGTCCACCAGTCGCTACCTTTCTTTCCAATCATACATCAGGCCAATTCTGAATTCTTACGTTATAATTGTGCGTCGTATCGTTTCTAAACTAATTATTATTTCTAATAATTTCCCAAAAAAAACTGAATGTTTATCACAGGAATATCTCAAGTCTACGACAAGACTTCGCAAACAATGTTTGTAAACAAAATCTTACCGTAGACATATCTGCATGTGCTTTCTCTATAAGTAGAAACCTCAACTCTCGCGAGATCAGGTCATGAACTTTCCGACGTGTTCGACAACAATCGTAATTTCGATGGCGGTGTGTTTAAAATGGAGGTGTGTTTACAAATAGCGAGTTTCAACTGCTCATATATCAATACTTTATGCACAAAGTCATGGTAACTATTGTTTGAATAACTTAATTTTAACTACATCTTAGAGAATATTTTAATAATTATGTGTAATTCTACACTAAAGTTTTGGTGAATGTTACGTATATTGGGGCTTTAAATCTTCAAACGACTTAGGCTCCGTATTATACGTTAATGATTTGCAACATATGTTGCTGAAAACTGGCCGTGATAAGGGGAGATCCTACATAATTTGTGTAAGGATAGGCCTAGAATAATTGGAGAAAATACATATTGATTCACAGAGCATAATCCATATGAGTTTCATTACACTAGCTTCCAGTCTCAGACATGGTTGCCGTGCATAAGCTGCATATGATTTCTCATAGCACAAATCAAAGTCATAAATATATAAACTTTATCTATCTCAATTGACATTTATCATTCGATTTGATGTAAGCCCGCGAGGGGTCTCATTACGGGCGTAAACTGGATACAGTAAAAAATATATACAGGTAACCCAACAAATCGAAACTACATCAAGATGTTTGAATTTGGCGCGCATACCAAGTTTGAAGTTATTGTGATAAACCACTAATTTTGCTGCCGTTCTATTCATAAGCATAAGCACTTCAGTGATTGTTTGCCAGATCTCAATAAGACAAAAACATACAAATCGTTAAGTGTTTGAAGAAAGCATAAATCATTATATTAATTTCCACCAATCATAAGTCACCACATCACGCCCGGACCTACAAGATGGCGACTTCCATTAAGGTAAAACCGGCTATTCACTTTCTTTATCGCAAACAAATATTATCACTGAGGTTTAAGTTTCCGATCAGTTGAAATGTTTTTACATGTTGGAAAAAACGAAAGCGAAGATGGAAATTCACAATAGGACTTGTCGTATTTAAGGTTTAAATGCTATATTAACCGATGTTTACCTTTCACCGACGTCATCAGCTGTTCATTTTCAGTTTTGCCACGCGTCGATCACAGTATTTAGTATTATGGCTTTTAGTCAGCAAACACACATTTTTTTATTTGCTCTTGGCTTGCTGTTATGGCTTCGCTGTAATCTAAAATAAATTTGATACAATGACAAAGCAAATCTTCAATGGAATATGTTTCTAAAATTGGCTTTGCTTCTAATATCGATCTTTTTCCCCTCAAGATTAGTGTTGTACTTGTAGATTTACTGATAAAATCGATATCAAGTATGTATCCAACAGTTGTACGTTACTGAAGACATTTGAAATTCGCGTGACTCTTCCCTACAATATACGTGTTGGAGAGAATATCCTCACTGGAATTCAGATGAGGAAGTTGAATGTAAAAGGGGTACCTAAGAACGAGTGCACTGTTCTATACTACAAGATGCAAATTTGGCTTGGTCATCAGAAAAGTGAAAAAGAGCAGGAAAGGGGGCTATTTAAAAACCATGATCATGGTACTACATTTTCTCAAACTGGAGATATATATTGATACATCTCTTAGCTAGACAAAAAGACAAACTTTGTATTAACAGAGATATACATTTGTATAATACAGAGGGATAGGAAACAGGGTAAAGTGAAGACTTCTCTGGTAATAGTTTTTGTGAATTTGTTCACTTAACATTGAAGTCATCAAAGCCCCCTCTCAGTTGTTATCAAATCTTATCTACCTATGTTCCATTCACTTCTCTACCGTAGTTCACCGAGAAGTGAATATCATTTTTGTAACAGAAATATAAGATAAAAATTGCACATCATAAAATTTGCATGAGTCCAAGAGAAAATTACTCAGCTTCTGATTTTGATTGATTTCAAAACTGATTTTCATCACATTTCTGGCTGATAGTGGTAAATAATATGGGGTGGTATTTCAGTTTTAAGCAGCTTCATCATTTGTTATATTTCCAAAAATATCAAAAGTCAATAAAAATAATTTCGTTCCCAAAATCTAGTACGGCCAAGTTGAAAATTATTAAGTTTTCTACTATTCTTTATTTTGGAAACATTTGTTATGTACTTTTTGAGAAAACTGGTATAAACATATAGCAGGCTGGATAACTCCAACACAGATGGAAACTGGAAATTATGTATCAAGGAAATCAAATGTCCCAATTGGCTAAAACCTACTTGCTCAAACCAAATGTTTGCACTGGAAGGTTGCAAGTTTTAATTTTTTATGGATATTTTTGAAATTGGTTTGATTATTTTAACCTTTTTGTATATTTGCTTTTCTTTCTATGTAAATGTTTGAATGGCTGATCACATATACAGTTTTTGGGGTTTTGTTAAGCTCTTTTTCCAACCACTTTGAATTCACACACAATACCATAAAAACACTAACTATTAAAGTTTGAACATTTTTCCATTAAGTTTCTTTATCAAAGAAAAACAAAGGGTATGGTTATGCAACAAAATAAGTTTGTCTATGATACCTGTCTAGGACACCCTGTCTGTGACATCATGTTTAGGACATCTGTCTCTGACACTCTGTCTATGACATCCTGTTTGTGACATAATATTTAGGACATCTGTCTATGACACTCTGTCTATGATATCCTCTCTATATTATCCTGTATATGATGCCTGTCTATGACACCAGTCTAAGACACCCTGAAAAAGACATCCTATTTATGACATCTTATCTATGAAACTTGGTCTATGACACACTCTAAATGACATTTATCAATGAAACCCTATCTATGACATCCTTTCTCAGACACCTGTCTATGACACCCTGTCCCTGAAATCTTGTCTCTGATATACTGTCTGTGATGCCTGTCTATGACACATGTCTACAACACCCTGTCTATGACATCTGTCTGTAACGCCCTGTCTATGACACCTGTATATGGTTCCTGTCTATTTACACCTGTCTATGACACCATGTCTGTGACATCATGTAAAATGACAATTACTTAAATGAAAATTGTCTCAATGTCTTTTAAACTGAATTCAGATGTAGTTCTTTTGTCATATGAGTAACTTTAACATTATATTTTCCTTATTGCAGATGTTGCTGTTTACTGGTTTGGTAGTATTTTGCCTGTTATCTGTAGTAGATGGCAAATCTAAGCCTATCACTGTTACACTCAATGCTAAATGGAACTCAACACCTTTGCTGCTCGAAGCAAGGTAATGAAATAAAGAATTCTAATTTTAAATATTACTGGTCAGTGTGATCGGTCAACTTGTCTGCTGAAAGGCTAAAAGACTATAATAGCAAATTTAAGTGCTATTAAATATATAAATATATATGAATTAGTCAACTTAAATTTTCTCAGTTTCATTTTGCTTCTTTGTTTTAACTAAGTTGAAAAAAAGAGTAAACAGCTGAAATTAGCACTATGTTAGCTTTGATCTTAACATCATATGTACAAATACATTAATTTGTTTTATAAATGTTCTGTTATATTTGACGAGAAAAAGTTTGAGATTCAAGTTTCTAGAATAAGGTACTGTACAACTAGGAAAGAAGCACATTTCTGGTGGTGCCTTTTAAAATCCATAAGTTTGGTAGTGAGTGAAAAAGAAAATTTTGAAGTTTTGATGCCAATGACTTTAATGTTGAGTTGAAAAAGAAAGAAAGGTCACAATAAGCACAATGTGTTATTTCAGACTTATAAATATGACATAGGTAAGAATCTTGATGAAATAGTTTTGTTTGAACAGAGAAGATTTCTTGTTCATTTACAGTGAATTCATAGCAAAGGAGAGCCCTGAATCCTTTTGGAGATATGTAGGAGAAATAGCAAAGCTGGACCCTAAAGCAAATGCCTTGGGTAAGTGAAAACTGTTCTGAGTCATAGTATTGAAAATTATCATAGCTAAACTGAGATAAGACATGGTTGGATGGTTGGGTGTCGCATAAGTAACACACACTCGCTTTTCAACAAAACGTCTAGGGTTTGATTCCTGGAATGGATATGACATGATATGGGGTCACCTGCCTACCCACAGAATGACCCCTCGTACACTTCCATCCCGGCCAACAAACATGATTAATAATAAGCTGGAAAATCTATAAGACATTGTTATAGTTGAAGTCTTTTATTTTCATGTTAATCGCATTTTTCTGCATAAAATACACAGATTTCAACATTCAGGTTTCAAACAGGAAGCAAAGGTTAATTTCATGGTTTTTCTGTCCATATTCTGTCATCACCAGTATTTGAAATCAATATGAAATTCTGAAACTATCCCCATGTAAATTTTCTGTCAAAGCTTTACTGTATTCCATTGTTCTGCTGCTTGGAACAAATGTAAATTTCATGTTTGAAAACGCCTACATGGATAATCCCCAGGGTGTTGACAAGGCGATAAGGCCAACAATTGTAACACTATCAGAGGTCAAGCTAGTCATGTGAAAAATTATGGGATGCAGATTTTTGGCAAATGATTTGAAATTTCAAAAAAGAGATATAAATGCAATAGAGAATATACATGAATTCAAAGGTGTGAAATCAGAACACACAGTCATATTGTGGACTACTACAACAAAGACCTGTCAGATTATAGCTGATAATTAAGAATATCCATGATGTTCCATTACTAGTCTAACGATAGCTGTTCTGTTGCCGGTGATGAAATCTTTACCGTTATACACAACAGGATTCATATCCTTTCGATTTCATAGCTTCTAATTCTAATAGCATGAAAATTATAAAATTTTCTCTAATTTTCAGAAAGTGATCAAGGAAATTACCATATGATCCTAAAGTTTGCTGGAAAAGTTATCTCCCCATTGCAACTGAAGCTGTTACAACTTTCTCTGTCCCTCAGGATTTACTCTCCAGCTGTGGAAACATTTCAACAGGTTGGTCAGGTCAATTACTTAGTAGTCACCGATAATGCGTCAAGGTCAGTAATATGACTACATATACAGGTCAAGGTCATTGAAGACATGTATGTGTTGATCCAGGATCATTTGAATGAAAAAATGGATGGATCACGTCGTTAGAGAGGTCAAGAATGATTTTAATCATATAAGGGGTCAAGGAAATTTTTTTTTCCTGACATGCATTATCACATGAGGTGTTGAGGTCATGTTGGTTTTGTATAGTAAGAGAATGATTATAGCATAAGTGAATTTTCAAAATGAAAGTAAGATATTTTGTATGGCTCAAAGGAATCAAAATCAAGGAAAAATGATTTACCAGAGGAGGGAGAAATCTATTGTCTTATTCTGCCAATGAGTAAATAAATCTCAATTTTTTTTTCAGCATAATGTGACCTCACATATACCATACATGAAACAAACCTTTGTATTCATATATTTTGCTGACCAAATGGTGTCAGATAAGACCGGGCTTTGCCACCCCAAAATTTTAGTCTTAGCTAATTTTTGTTTTGAAGTCCTTTAGATAGACTTTTCTGCTTACTAGTTGGATTGAAATCTCTTTACATGCTCAGGACCTTTTGAGTCACACATCAAGATAGTAACATCTTCGTAATTGTTGATTTGAACATGTTATTTCCAGCTGGCTGAGGGTGGGTCAGATGACTGTGTGGCATTTGTAAACATTCATGGACAGACCACTTGTGATCCAGAAGAAGTGAAGTCATTGGTAGAAAAAGCAGCAGATTTGTAAGTGTCATCCCTTTAACTTGATCACTTAGAACTCACAGATTTTAAGCAAAAGTATCCAGTGATAAGCCCATGACAGATGATAAGCTCATGACAGATGATAAGCACATGACAAATGATAAGCTCATGACAGATGATCAGCTCATGACAAAAGATAAGCCCACTTCTTCAGTAGAAATGCCAACACATACTTTGTTTTATCACTAACTTTTACTAAAACCCTCCCTCCTACTGTGAGTAACAGATTCTTTAGGGTTATTATTAAGATATTTCAAAATAAGGAACAATGGATAACATCTAGTGTTCTGTTATGAATACTGTAAGATTAGTATTTTTGTGGGGCTTAATTTTCATGTTTTTCCTTTTTTGTGGGGGTGGGGTAGAGAAACTATCTTGTGGAAACTTGATTTTATGAATAGATATACTACTTCAATTAATGTCAAAAGTTTGTAGTTTGTGGACATATTAATTCCAGGACAGAGAACATCCACAAAATCACCAAAAATAAATCCCCCTCTAAAATCGGTGATTTTGCAGTAAGTGATGTGCATTTTTGATTGAGATGTATTAATGGTAAATGATTCTTATCATTGAGTATGTTGGAAAAAACTTCTTTAGACATGAACAGAAAAAACTGATATTACATTGTCAGTTTTTGTCTAATGAACCTGATTTGAAAATCCTCAATCAATGACATTATAATTTGCAGGCCAAAGCCATCAATTTTCAAGTTTGATCACATTTTTCCTGGGTCTGCGGATAATAATGTGGTTGTGGTGCTCTACGCAGAAGTGGGAAAAGAAGGATTTCCAGAATTTCATAAGACACTTCGTGACCTGGCAGATAAGAAGGAGATAACATATGTACTGCGACATTTTGTCAGAGTAAGTAAACTACTGTGTCTGCCTCAGTAGAATAGCAACCTCTGATAAATCTCTGAAATATGAAGCTAGTGCACCTTCCCATGTAGATATGATCATTTCTTTTGATCACTTTGGATATTACTCAGTCACCCCTAAAGTTTAAAATTTAGGCCTTTAAAACCACTGATAAATTCTAGAACAATGATCACAACTGTATGATGCAGGTTAATTAATTGTTTGATTCTACTGTATCTTATTTGAATTTGTACATAAAGGTGCTATTTACTTGTGTGTCTTTTGTACAATCGTTGATATTGGTCAAACTTGGCAACATTTGTCAAAGTTATGGGACTAAATGAAATCATTACAGTAGACAATCTTCATTTCCATCAAATATCTATAATATTTTTCGGATATAAACCAGATTTGATGTATTATTTTATATTAATGAGATCTGTCATTATTTGCCAATATTTTGCCAGAGCTACAGGACATAATTAATAAAAAGAATATTAAGGAACAGGATAAAAACAATGAGTCCTCACTTTGTTATTTAGCCTTTGGTATATGCTTTAGTTGTGATTTGATTTTCTTACCAATCAGTATCTCATACCCTTTTCGGAAATGCTTTCTTATTGAACACATACGTACCTAGTGACCTTTCACTTGATACCACATTTGTTGTGTGCAGTACACTGGTACTATGATATAGATTGCAAAAATGCCTTTCAGTTGAATGTCCAGCCTCATTGAATTGGTTTCTTTTGAGAGCATAGTGTTTCTCAAACCCAGAAATTCTTAGGACTTCATTGATTTTACGTCATCTATAACCGTAATTAGTCAATCAAGATTAAAACTTTGGGAATGATGGAAAAATGCGAGGTGACAAGGGGGCAGATAAAAAATTTGTGAAGCATTTGCAATTTTTTTTAATTGATCATCAAAGATGATATCATGCTTTTGGCACAACCTGTGATACTGTGGTATATATGGTATATAATGTATATTTTCGGATGGTTCATCCTACAGCTAAATTTAGTATTTATCATATATATTGTTTGAATCAGTTCAATATAGACAGAAAACCTCATAAATATTACTATCCAACACAAAGTCATATTTATGAGAAACAGAGACATTATATATTCGTATATCAGTATTCAGTCGACTGTTCAGTAGAAGTTGATGATTGTATCACCCAAGTCTACCAGCTAGTGTTTGGTATTCTCTCATCGGACATGAAAAGATACAAGGTCACTTGTCCAGTTACATGGCATTTCCATCAGTCCTGTTTCCTCCCACAATAAAACCCCTGCGTTTTCAAATTCTGACAAACAAGGATGATTAATATATTAAATCTACACAGTAAAATAATCTGTTTTCGTGATTTTCGTTGATTTTATTTGTACTCTTAATTCATGAAACCATGTGTCCACAATGTTTTGAGCCATGTATAAGTAGATTGATTTTGCTGTATTCATCCACCAAATGAAGTGCCCACCAAGTAACATTGGTTTTTAAAAACCACAAAAATTGAGTCCCACAAAAGTATATGAGTTAATGGTAACTTCTTTCACAATGATTTGAAAAATAGAGTTTTTTTAAGAAGAAGTTAAGAGCAAGTAAACACAAAAGTGGACAAGATTTTGTATTAAAAAAGAAAATTATTACATTGAATGACCATACTATAATTGTTTTCCAGAATCCAGCAAAGGAGAAAACACGATTGTCTGGCTACGGGGTGGAACTTGCCATCAAAAGCACCGAGTATAAAGCCAAGGATGACACAAAAGTAGAAAGTATGTACTTGGTATAAGGATAGGGTGAGAAGGAACTTTGAATCAACCTGTAACATGTTGTGTATACAGTGTAGTGTAGCTATCAATTTCTTTGCAGTCTTCTGCCGTCTTCCACACATATTTGTAAGGCCTGTTGATTCCTGACACTCTCATATCTTGATTCTTCTATCATTCTTTTTCTACTATTGTATTTACCAACATATGGTTTTATTTCTACATATGTGTTTTTTATTCATTTTGATTTATAAACAAATTGAAAATAAATTTAACATTTAATATGTCAAATTTGATTTTCAGGTGGGAGTTCTGCTGATGCAGAGGAAGATGAGGTGGACGAGGTGCAAGGATTCATCTTTTCAAAACTCAGGTACAACAGGGATATCAGATTCTTGTAGCGATAGATTTTCTGACCTTATGTAAAAAAAATATTGATGACTCTTTTGAACAGACCATGATCAGTGAACTGACATTATCGTTAGATTTTTTAAATGTTTATCAGTCGATAACTCTTCTGAAAAAGAGATGAGTGTTTTTTCACAGAAATTTAGCATACAACCTTAACTGAATCTTTTAAATGAATTACAGAGAGTTGCACCCTGATAGCAAAGATGATTTGAAAGCATTTCAAAATCACCTGGTGGCCTCATCAACAGAGCTAGCAGCTCTTAAAGTCTGGCAATTACAAGGTGAGGTTTATTTAAGGAAGGAAAATTCAGGATTTCAAATATATGTTAGTTATATATATATCACAAGTGTTAGAAATCCTTTACTGATAGAGCTCTGTATAAAATTTTGTTGGTGTTTCTACTGTATTACATTAACTTTTGCGTGATTTTAATTTTCTTTGATTTTAAGGGTATAACTGATCAACAATTTTATTTGTCCACAAAATGATGAATAATTGAAAATTCACAGGAACTTTTGATATTATTAGTAGAATTTATGAGCAAAAGCAAGTGTCAAATGTATTTTGGTTGAAACCCTACAAAATTTAAGCCCCACAAAAATATTTGCTTTTATAGTACTGAAAATTTCGTTTTTAATGAGAATCTTCTTTTAGCACATTTCGCATTGAAGAAATATTGCACGAAAACATGACTATGCTAATTCCAGTTGTGGTATGTCACTAATACATGTATATCAATTGCAAATGTGCGAATTCATCATTGGGCTGTTTTATTCAAACTGATATCGTTCAAATATTTTATTGTACCAAAACAATGTTTCGTTTTATGAAATGTGTTACTTTAAATAGAGTGATGTGCAGTTTTGATATAACAGAATAGTTTGAAAGAAACTTGAATCTATGTTGTAAATAGTAAAATCTGTGCAGACTTTAGTATATGAAATTGTACTGATACAGATTTTAGAATGGATTGAATGCGATGACAATTCCTTAAAGTCCCCCTTCCTGAGTTTGACATAATGCAGCTTTCACTCCAGTCTTACTTCTACAATTATGAAAAATGATTTCTCCCCAGTATTGTGTCCTACAATGTGATAAATGATTTCTCCCCAGTATTGTGTCCTACAATGTGATAAATGATTTCTCCCCAATATTGTGTCCTACAATGTGATAAATGATTTCTCCCCAATATTGTGTCCTACAATGTGATAAATGATTTCTCCCCAGTATTGTGTCCTACAATGTGATAAATGATTTCTCCCCAGTATTGTGTCCTACAATGTGATAAATGATTTCTCCCCAGTATTGTGTCCTACAATTATGAAAAGTGATTTCTCCCCAGTATTGTGTCCTACAATTTGATCAATGATTTCTCCCCAGTATTGTGTCCTACAATTTGATCAATGATTTCTCCCCAGTATTGTGTCCTACAATTTGATCAATGATTTCTCCCCAGATTTAAATATACAATATATAATAGTTATTTCATTTCTCCACAGACTTGAGTCTTCAAGCAGCACAAAATTTGATGACCACTCATTCATCAGAGGTTTTGTCCGTTCTCACCGACATCAGTCAGAACTTTCCACAGCGAGCAAGGTAAGCTTGTCTGTAAACTATATCCTCTTGTCAAGAATGAAGTACTGAAGAGTGTTTTTAAAGTACTGTGCGAGATAAGAGAATACTGATTAGAACTGTATGTAATATAATATGATATAGCAAGGATACAATGCAACCAGATGCATCAATATAGACATTTAGGAAACCCTACAAGACCCCCAGGAGATCTCCAGCTGACGTCTAATCGACTTTCAGGTGATCTTGAGGGCTCTGCTATTAATACTATCAGATAGCTCAGATAATTATATTTTGAAATATTAGGTTATACATGGCAAGTTCTCTTACTTTTATCACAAGATATGTGTATAATGATATTGTTCTGTTTGTTATAGAACCCTGGTGAAGACTGTCCTTACAGAGGAATTCAAGAAAGAACTGAAGAAGAACCAACAGGTAGAACAATTGATTGTATATATCATACAGGTGTAATGCATGATGTATCAACTCCCAAACATAAATACAGTCAAACCTCGTTAACTCGAAGTCGATGGGACCACGAAAATACTTCGAGTTATCCGAGTCTTCGAGATAGCCGAGTTCATGAGTTTTGGTGCAAAGATTTTTAATGTTCCTGACGTTCCTTGTACTTTTTGTCACTTTTTGGCTATATACGAGCTTGATGTAGATTCCGGTAATAAGCAAACATATTTTGTTCTTGATCGTTGAAAAACCAGAATTGATAATTAAATTAGTTTGCTTATTATTTAGAAACCATCAATTTCGTTCTGTCAGTCCTTTTTAATTACCCCTGCTTTTATCCCTATGTGACACTCATGACATCTCCTCACTAATTCTGCCCTAAGTACTTCGACGCTAATTAAATAATTGTTTCACTCATTTGTCGGTTTAATTGAGCACAGGTGACCGTTTCATGCGTACTCCTGTAAAAACATTAAGCCTAGTACTGGGCCAGTGTTGTGATTGTTTTCTATAGCTTAGTTCCGCTTCACTGAGTGTATACACAGGTCGGTGTTTGTTATGGCTGACAGACACGGAAATTACGCAGTAGAACTTCACTTTTTATCGCCGATATCTATCAATTATAAGATCTAACGGTTACCTTTTATCATTCAATTAAATAACAATAAACACTTTTCTAAAACATGAATATTGTTAATTACAGTATTGTTCATTAATATTCACTTGTAAAGCCTATTGTCGGTAAAATTGCAAAACGGCGTAGCGCATCAGCAATGTAATTGACCGGCACAAAATTTATACTTCGAGTTTTCCGATCATATTCAGTATATGTTTTGTTGTTGGGACCAAATTTTTACTTCGAATTAACAGAGTTTTTCGAGTTTTCCGAGTTTTGATTACTAGAATAAAGAGAAGATTTTGCCGGGACCGACAAAGTGCTTCGAGTTAAACGGGGTCTTCGAGTTTTCCGAGTTCGAGTTAACGAAGTTCGACTGTAGTAGGAAATAGCAGGAATAGTAGAGAAATGTTCAACTTAAAATTCTGGCCACCTTTTCATCGCTGATAGCGACATTATACAGTGTTGTCATGTGACTTTAACAATACTATCACATGACTTCACTGTCTTGTTGTTTCACTATATACATATCTCTATTCAATGAACTGTATGTTTACATAATGACCGATAAACAAGAAGAAACAGTGTATCCCCGGCTTGTTGCGATTGATTCCTAAACTTCCAAACATATAATATATCACAGTACCATTAATACTGTCTTGGAACATTTTCATTATCATCTAGTTATTTTTTATTTATCATATCAACATAATTAACACACCTGCCCCTATAAAGTCATCCCCAACTTTTTGTCTTGAGAAAAGAGTGTAGATGTTCCTTTAATGAAAGCCTGTGATAAGGATGTTTACTTCACTGGTCTATCAGTACAACATACAGCCTTCTAACATTTCGTCTCTAAGCCTCAAAGTAATTTGGCTATAATATCTCAAGATCTGTAATTCTTTTTCTAACAGAAATGAAAATAATTCACATATTTAAAACTAGTGTGTTCCAATGAACGGTATATTCAAACAGATGTGTCCTCTATAAAACAAGAATGTTGTTGTCAGATTAAACAGGTAAGTCTGACCAATATGTTGTCACCACAGGCTGTCAGATTAGACAGGTTAATTGGACCAATATGTTATGTACCACAGGCTGTCAGATTAGACAGGTTAGTCTGACCAATATGTTGTGTACCACAGGCTGTCAGATTAGACAGGTTAGTCTGACCAATATGTTGTGTACCACAGGCTGTCAGATTAGACAGGTTAGTCTGACCAATATGTTATGTACCACAGGCTGTCAGATTAGACAGGTTAGTGTGACCAATATGTTATGTACCACAGGCTGTCAGATTAGACAGGTTAGTCTGACCAATATGTTATTTACCACAGGCTGTCAGATTAGACAGGTTAGTCTGACCAATATGTTATGTACCACAGGCTGTCAGATTAGACAGGTTAGTCTGACCAATATGTTGTGTGCCACAGGCTGTCAGATTAGACAGGTTAGTCTGACCAATATGTTGTGTACCACAGGCTGTCAGATTAGACAGGTTAGTGTGACCAATATGTTGTGTACCACATGGTGTCGGATTAGACAGGTCAGTCTGACCAATGTTTTATATTCTATATGTGTCAGATCAGATTAATCTGACAAATATGTCATTAATCTTTGGTATGTTAGATAAGAAAGGTCAGTTTAATGAAAGCGATGTTTTACATTGGATACATTCATTAGTACCCAATGAAATTTCTGGAAAAGAAAAGGTTGTCTGTAAATATCTCGACCTTTTGTTTCTATGAAGTACTCTGAAGAACAATGCTGGTGCCTGAGCGTTTTCATTGAGTTCATTTTTGTTTGCAGTATTTTGAGACAAATCATGGTCTGTCTGCGGGGGAGTCAGCCCTGTTTCTGAATGGTTTGCCTGTGGATATTGAAGTATATGATATCTACAGCCTCCTGGAGCTGATGAGGTCAGAGACAAACCTAATGGAGGGACTTTACTCACTCAGCTTCAAGGTAAGACGTGTGTTATAATCTGTTAACATAGAAGTTCTTATAATTCACCCAATAGATTGAAGTCTGATGGAGGTGATATGGTTCATAAAATCTCACGTGGAAAGAAGACAATTTAAGATATTTTTTTTCACATAACTCAGAAAAAATTTTGTCATGTTTTAAAATAAAAAAGAGATAATGACTTTGGGCCGTTTTCAATTCATGATGTTATGTCATTTTTCTATAGTACGACATCATAATCAATTTCTGATTGACACAGTTATAAATATACCCCAGGTTATATTACAACGATGACATAAACACTGAATAACACAGAATATTTAAAACCTTTCTTATTGGATTGTAAACATTTAATGTCATGTTTCATGTTTCTGTAAGTATTCAACATCCCACGATATCCATTCTGTATGTGAATTGTTTAACAGTTTATTTCTATTATCTAACCTCAGGGTCCAGAGGTTAACCAGATACTGAGGCTGGACCTAAGTGGTGACTCTGAAGACTTTGCTTTGGACATCAGACACGTTGCTGTTTCCGTAAGTTATTGTCCACAGCGAAAAATCTCCACAATCAGATGTAAACAATGAAAAAACTTAAAGTTTAGAAATAATCTTATTGCAATTATCCTTAAAATCAAATTATTGCATATATGAAGGTTTTTAGTTTTTGTTACTGAAAGGAAATTCCTTAAAAACTTTTTCATGTGATGAAAGGACACCAATTGTGCTACCGAAATTACTGAAACATCTGTCATATCTATGTTAATACTTGTGCTATAGAATATGCTTCTTAATCTTATATATAAAATAACAGCCATTAACAATCTCTTTTAGTGGAAATCCTTCATAATTCTTCCATGGAATATCTTAAGATTGATGTTTACCTGCAGTTTTCTTAATCCTAATGATATTTAGTAAAATCTGTTCAATCTGACTGTTCAGTTTCTCAACATCCTGTATAAGTGAGACCTGTGTGGTGGATTTAACAAGTCATCAGATGAGCCAGGTTTTACTTTATATGCAATGATGTACAACATTGATATTGTTTTTATTCTCCTAGTACCTGAATGACCTGGAAAATGATCGTAAATACAAGAATTGGCCGAGCAGCGTACAGGATATCCTGCGGCCGACCTTTCCGGGTATGCTGAGACATGTCGCCAAGAACTTCTTCCACATGGTGCGTCTTTATCCTCAAAGTTTAGACAAAGACAACATTTTGACCTCATAGGTTTACCTTCAGAACTGTTTATATTCACCTTTAAAGCTTTGGATTAGTTTTCGATGCACTATATATTTCTTTTGAGTCAGAACTATTGGATGCAGGGAAATCATTGGAACTGTCCGAGAGTAATGGGCTGTTTTCAGCCAATTTTAGTGAACGTTTTGAAATAAGCTAGGTCATGTTGAATTTGAATCAAGCTAATTATCCTGGATATGAATATTTCTTCTATTTTTTTCTTGATCGTTAGAGTTTATAACTAATATCAAGAAATAAAAATGGATGATGGGGAAGTGGTTCCACACTCCTGCGACTGCTCTTCTTAAGCCTTGGTGACACTTTTTCAGCCTTGGTGACACTTTTTCATGACATTTTTCTTGTATTTATTTCTATACAAGGACTCCAGACACCAATAAATTTCATAACTGTTGTTTTACGCTGAAAACATCATAAATTACAATAAACATCAACAGAATGTTTGCTGTTTGTTTTTGAGATTGTGATGTCATAGCTCAGTTGTTAGAGTATCTGACATTACAACCTCATTCTAAGATCTGTGTTGTTTGACTCTCCATACCTGAAGCAATTTGTGTTTCTCAGGAAGCTGAGATAACTGGCTGTTCTGTACTGTCTTGGTGGTGTCCTTAGGCAAGGCACTTTACCACAACATCTGCTGGATGGTATATAGTAACCACCCAGATGTTGTTCTCTGAGGTCGCCACCAGCTTCTAACGTATAAGGAGGTTTCATGTCAAAATAAACAATTATTGGGAGATACTATCTTAAAATGTTTGAAATACAATACTTATTGTGATATTTAATCTTAGTTTATAATATACCATGCACATTGTATTGTTTTGCATGATTTAAACCATTTTTCATCGGTCATTGGAAAAACAAAATTCTTGTCTATTTTAGGTTTTTGTAGTGGATCCTTTGGAAAAGAATAGTAGAGAATTGCTTAAAATGGCCGAGGCGTTTTTAGTACATAGTGCTCCAGTACGTATTGGTGTGGTGCTTGTCGTGGACTCTGACAGAGAGGTGACAGGGTATGACGACCCAGGAGTGGCAATCTCTCGTGCGTTTGATTACCTTATAAGGGAAGAGAGTGCAGATCGAGCCATCGCCTTTATCACTGACGTAAGTTTTAATTCTGGATGTAAAATACAGGCAATTAGTGTTCTGGTTAATCTACTTTAGCAAATTTTATGGTTTGGTGTTTAAGTTAAAGGATCAGTGTCAAAATATTTCTGTGATTGATTTCAATACATCAATCAATACATCAATCAATAAATCTTGTAACCTTTTGATTTATCTCTAATGTATTGCATTTCATTGTTAATTTTCTGTGTCTTGTGTTGCTCAAGAGTTCAATATTACACCTACTTAACAGATGGTTATATAAATCTCCTTTCTTTCTTGATCCAGTGGAAAGTTTGAAAAGTTACCCCTCCCTCTCAGAAAAGCACAAAAAATGTTTTGCAGTTACATACTGTAATTGTGGAAATTTTTGCGGTTGGTTAATTTTGCAATTTTTATGGGTGAAGTATATGCGTAGAAGTTATTTTTGCAAACCATTTTCATTTTATTTCATCTTAAGCACACCAAAAAACATATAATGTGCGTGGGAAATTTTTGTGATCTGACAACCTTCGCGTAATTAGCGTTAATTTCCCCCTCATGTAAATTTCCACGTTAGGTTTTGACTTCCTAGGCAACATGAGTTGGATAAAAAACTTACTGAAGTGAAATCATTAACCTTTTTTGGGTTGAAGATTCGGATAACTTGTCTCTGCTTTATCCAGGTATATGAGAAAGCCCAGTCAAAGGATCTAACGGCAGATTTGGTAATCAAAGAATTCCAGCGTTCTTACTCCGACGCAGATGAAGGAACAGTATTTGGGGAGGACGACGACTACAATATTCTTAGAAAGGTATGTTTTTTTCGGATATTATGTCAGCATTAAGCTGTAGTGAAACGTTTGTTTGTTTTTTGACAAGAAATTGGCTTAACCTTGATGATTTGTGACCAGGGATAAAGAGACGTGGGTATATAGTACTCAATGTGTCGACGTGTCCCATTGTGTGGGCAAAAATTAACCCCTAGAAATGTTTAGTTTATATTTATGTCATATCATCACACCAACAAGATCTGCACCTTAGTTATTTTTGTAGTAATTAGTCGCGTTTAAAATCATCAAAGGTCACCCTGAACAACTTGAATGTGTATAAGGTATCTCCTGAGACCTACAGCAGATTTAGTTAAAATTCACACCATAGCATTACACCAGCAAAATCTTCATATGAATAGAAGTTCCAAACCTGATTAGATTTCAGTAGTCATCAGCCAAGGTCCAAATCACCCTTGATCACTTTTATAATAAAGCGCTTACGTGCAAGACAATTAATGAATAGACATAAGCTAAAATTGGGAAGATTAGGCCCCAGTTTCATGAATTTTCCTTTATTTATAGAAATAACTGCCATAGAACAGCATTACATTAGTAACGGAAAAACTTACATTTAAGGAAATTTCTTTAACTTATGTAATGCTTTCCTCTGGGTGGTTTTAAGTTAAGAAAAGTCCTTAAGTTTAGGAAGATTCATGAAACTGGGGCCAAGGAGTGGGAAGTATATCTATGTGAGTCCCTCCTACCATTACTATCACCCAAACCCCCACCCATCCACCAACCCACACTTTTCATAATCACATTTTTTTTCTGGAAAAAAAACAAAAAAATACAATCTTTCAGCTCCCTTATTCTCAGCCAGCAATATGACTAAATTTTCAATTCATAACTCCCTTTAAATGGAAAATCCTCCCTATAAATGATTTGATTAAGGCGATCCTTATTATACCCCCCGCAACGAAGTTAGGGGGGTATACTGGAATCAGGTTGTCCGTCTGTCTAAGCGTCTGTCCGTCCATCTGTCTGTAGACACATTTTGTCCGGCTAACTCCTCCTAAACCTGTGAACCGATTTTGATGAAACTTTACAGGAATATTAAGGATCATATGCATGCCCCTTTCTTTTTTTGAAATTTTTTGTTGCCATGGTAACTGGTCACTATAAACAAGTTTTCTAATAAATGTCCATAACTCCTCAGTTATTTGACCGATTGTATTCAAACTTAGTAAAAAGATGTAATTCAGTGAGGCCAATAATTGGACATATTAGACGTTTCCCAAACTGTTACCGCGGAAACACAATCCTGGCCTCTGATTGGTCAAAATTTAGATATTGTCCACTTTTGACCAAATTTGGTATATAGGGTTATTAGAGGATGCCAAACATTATAAAATAGGTTTCGTTGCCATGACAAACATGTGTAGATGTGCATGCCCCTTTCTTTTTTGAAAATTTTGGTTGCCATGGTAACTGGTCACTATAAACAAGTTTTCTAATAAATGTCCATAACTCCTCAGTTATTTGACTGATTGTATTCAAACTTAGTAAAAAGATGTAATTCATTAAAGGCCAATAATTGGACATATTAGACGTTTCCCAAACTGTTACCGCGGAAACACAATCCTGGCCTCTGATTGGTCAAAATTTAGATATTGTCCAATTTTGACCAAATTTGGTATATAGGGTTATTAGGGGATGCCAAACATTATAAAATAGGTTTCGTTGCCATGACAAACATGAGTGTTTAGTGTAGATCAAGAACATAACGGCAGACATTTTTTTGTCTCTGTGGCCCTTCAGTGGAAAATATTACTTCAGTAAAGATGTAAGTATTGCAAGATTCTCTTGATCATGAACAACATGTATTCCACCCCTTCTGATTTCCAGAAATGCAGGCACATGCAGAATATGTCAATTACTCTCAGAATAACACTTTAACTTATCCATTGACTCATTGCAGTGTGCGGGGGGTATTGGTCAGCCATCTAGGTGACAGTTCTAGTTCATTTTGTAATCACTTACTGAGTTTTTCAGGTCAAATACGGTATGTATCATTGTTTGTGTGCTTTGTTTGTTTGTGCAGGCCTCCAATGACTTTGTGTCCAAGTCAGGTTTGAAAGATTTCCCTCAGGTGTTGATGAATGGTGTTCCCATGGACAAAAAACATCTAACAGAGGAAACATTTGAGGAGGGCGTGGTCTCCACCATCCTTGCTCAAACTCCAGCCATACAAAAGGCAGTGTACCAGGGCACTCTTCATGATTTTGTCAACATGCAGGAATGGTTAATGGAGCGTGACAATGTTCTCCCTCGCCTGAACTCCAGAGTCCTTACCCCAGCCAAGAAATCTCTCGACTTCACTGTCAGACTAGGTAGGTACTGTTGTTGAGATCTCATATTTTGTTTGGACAGGGTTTTTTTTAATAAATTACAATATCACATTTAATTTTATGCTGAAAATATGTCTGTTGAAATTATTCACTACTGAAAATTTAAACATTGACCTCAAATCTGTTTCAGATTGATTGTATTTGTCTTATCTTTAATTTCCATAACAAAAAAAATTCCCAAAAAACAACATATATTAGGATATCAGTTCATGTGTGCCTTTGGTATATATTTGATTAGTGAGTTTTTACCTTGAATTTTAAGTTGTAATATATTCATGTATGATGTTTTACTTATTACAGATGCTGATGTGTACAATGATGTTCATAAATTTGAGGTACTAAACACCAAAGCAATGACCTCTGTCATGACCCAAAATATGAAATATCTGACAAGGAAAGGTGAGATTTTTAGCCATAGAAAAACTTCAGACTTATCAGTGTTGTTAACCTGGTGTTAGATAATACATTATATCTGGTCAGGGCCGTCATAATCTAGGATGACAGGGAGTGTTCAAGAGTCATCAGGTAAAATTGAATATGAAACTTTCAGATACTGATCAAAAGTAAAGAAATATCATATTAGTCTAGCAATTTTCACAATGTAAGAAAGTCATAATATATCAGATTGACCTGACAAAATCAGGTAAGTTGGCAACACATGCACCAGCTTAATCAAAACTGTTTAACATTCAGTATTTTGATTTCAGGGAAACTGTTTTGCCTCTTATCAAGAAGCATTAATTAAATTGTTTAGGAAATAATTCACATTTTCAGATGAAGGAAAGAATGTGTATTTTTGTGTATGATTTAATTGTGTCATCAATCCTTGGGTATCTTGATTTTGTGTGGGAATCATTTATAAAAGACGTCCACATCACAGTATCAGTCATCCCTAAGCCTCCTTGTCAAAGTAAGAATAAAACCAATCATATCCAGATCACAATAAAGATGAATTCAGCCTAAAGATTAATTTTCAGATTCTATATAATGATGTATTATTTTAATACATTACATCTTAAAGATTTCTCAGTGACTATCAAAGTCAATTCAGCACAAGCTGTTCTGTTTGTATGTCTGCCATTATATTTCATCAGTCCTTCTCCATCAGTTATGAACTTTTAAAACAGTTTTGATTTTAAATTTACAGAGGAGAACATGCTCCGCCCAGTGACCATGTGGGTGGTGTGTGACCTTGAGACCCCAGAAGGTCGTGATCTGTTGTACTCTGCTCTTAAACAACTGGTAGGTTAGATTATAAATATCATTTAGTGACTGAAAAAAGAATAAGAAAAAGGAAATATTCAACTTCTGCCATAAATTATTCTCATAAAAATCTACCTCCTATAATGATAGTTTCTTGAAAAAAAGAAACCATTTATTATAGAAAAGTAGTGCTATAATGGGTTTGTATGTGTATGATAACAATTCTTTATCTCTTTATGGAAGGGCTTACACAGTTCTCCAATGTCTGACCATCTTATTGTGTTCTCTGTCAATGTCGTATCATTAGAAGCTTAACAAGATTTTTATATTTACCCATAGTATCATGGCATCAAGATGTATAGCAGATCAAGTTCTTGTTGGCATGGAAGCTAGGGCATTCATGTCAATGAAACATTTTACAGTTCAAAACTCATTCAATATAGAAAAGAATTGCCATTAGTTTTTTTAAATAATTTATTGTAGAAAAATGCTGTTGTTATTTTCACTCATTAGATAACAGGTTGATATGTGTAGAAAATGTCAGCATAAGTAACATATTCATTATAGCAATTTTCCGTATCGTCAAAGACAAAATGTCTTCAATATTTCTTTGTTGATAGAGATTGACCCAGTTTCTTCTGGATGTTGGTCCACAAGCATAAATCAAAAATACTGTTTTATATTATAACTTTGTCATATTGTTTTTCTTTCTGTGATTGAACAGAAACACACACATGACCTGAGACTAGGCGTGATTTTTAACAGTCCGCGGTGGAAGGAGGATCAATACTACACAATCTCGAAAGCTGTATACACTGCACTTACCACCCTTGAGCCAGGTCTAGCAAAGTCCTTCATCACCAAACTAATGAAGGAAGAAAATGTGAAGGATCTTCTGGCTGGAAACAAACAGCTCAGCGATTTGGAGGTCAATGTAAGTATGTTGTATTAGTGGAAAATTTTGATATCAAAACTGAAAGTCAAAAATTTCCTAGGGGGTTGCTGTTCTAGATAAAAACATAGCTGGAGAAATCGGGATTGTATACAAGTATATTGGAATAAAAGGTATATGAAAATGTCATGTGTCAGTGCAACACAAATTTGTGATATATCTTCCTTCAGGAGGATAGAGTAACTAAAGCTTACTACCTAAGCTAAAGGAATTCACACTTGTCAGGAGAATTAAATTAACCTGTACTCTTTACTTTGATAGAAAATACAAATATATATTTTTTTAAGGAAATTTTTTGTGTAAAAATATCTGGTAATTACAGTTGTTGGATAATTCAGGATTCTTTCGCATATTGAACGATATGTTTAAATTTGACTTTTGAGTTTAAACTTTAAGACTTGTTTGCTGTATTATTACCAAGTTGATTTTGTTGGCATTCAGAAATTAAACAGAATATAAACAGGAAATTTCTTTATACAGAATGTATTTGTTATGTGTGAAATACCTTTATATTTACAGGGTATGGACACAATGTCCTATATGTTGGCTGTTGAAGTACAAAACACTGATTTCCTCAAGGTTCATAGAGCGTTTGTTGAGAAAGTCTTAGGCTGGGAACAGTCGGCTAGAGGAGTGCTGGCTAATGGTCAAGTGAGTTGAAACATTATGTACAAGTTGCGTTTGTAATTTTTTTGATTTACAAATAGACCACTGTGAAGTGTACTTTTGTTTGTTATGGGGAGAATTCTGTATTATGGAAAAATATGGTAAACATATTTGAACTTAATAGAAGTTAAAAATGGTTTGATTGAAAACAAATTAGCCATTGAAATGTGCATTATGGCACATATAAACTTGAGAAAGCTTTCAATTTGATGAATTTGTGTGAGAAAAAGAGGATGAATTCAGCAGTGAATGTGTCGTTTAGAAAGCTTATTGTTTAAACCTTCAAAACTGCCTACTGAAATGTATATTGACAATCTATATATTTAAAGGATTTGTGACAAATATCTAATGTAATTACTTTATAAGAAAACTTCTCGTGGTTTTGACTAACAAGACATGTCAGTCAATTTTCCAAAGCCTCTGTCACTATTGCCTTATCACTGGAAGAATTTTGTTAAAGTATAAAATAAATTTGTCTTGAAGGTGCTGGGGCCCCTGGACAAGGGTGAACGATTCCTACAGGAGGATGTGGACCTGTTCCAGAAATACATCTTCCAGAATTCTGCCAAGAAAATCAAGGGTCTCCTGTATACGTTAGGCCATAAGGATGATAAGTAAGAACCTTGCTGGATTCAGTGTCTCTGTTTAAGGTTGGATATCAGTTGTCGCGATATCCGTTATGTGTTGTTTGTACAAAAACAGGCAGCTCATCAGCCACAAAGCTCCCAAGTATAAAACATTAACAAGATTTTGTTGTACAAATTGATGATGTTATACCACCATTTTAAAATTCAATGCTTCTTCATCTACCCATAATCTTTTTCAAGATATTACAGATTTGTTATGCCCTTGGATCAAAAGATCGGGGGTATATTATTTTTGTGTTGTCTGTTTGCTTGTCTGTTGTCAACTTTAGCCTTGCCAATAACTATTGCACTGTGAGAGGTAGGGCTTTCATATTTGGTATGTGTGTTCCTTGTGCCAGGTAGTACCAAAATTTGTGACCATGTGATTTTAATTTTGTTTTGACTGAAGGCAAAGTGTTTCATAAACACATCTTTATTTATTTATTTATTTTTTTTTGGAGAGGAGGTGGGAATGTTATGGTGTCATAAACAGACAGGGTTGTTGTGTGGTGGTGTCTCTTTTTAATAGCCTCACTGAAGAAGAATTGAGGTACCACTCATAATCATTCTACCTGTGTACACACATAACACATAACATCTTCTTTATTATGATGAGATGTAACATATTACTGGATGCGGGGTTATTTTGAGATTTTTTCATATAAATGACTTGAAATACTTTAGAAAAAATAAGTTTTTTCCTTCAATTTTTCTTTTATGAAATGAAAAATTAGAATTATTTGTATATATTGTCTGATTGTTGCTAATGAAGAAGTATGTATGAGAACCAGTGAGAAAGGTACTAGTAATGGTAAATCATGATTAGTGGATGTCTTCATTGTTAGCAGAGTGAGGACCACAGAGAAAATGATTATATGTGATTTTAAGTGGCTGAATAGTGTCTCCATCTTCCATCCCCTTTTATATATAGAATGGTCCTGTGACTTGTGACCTCAATCCATAAAATCAATTATGACTGAACTTAATATATTCTTACATTTCTATGACAATTATATAAATCATATGGCAATGTAATTCACAACACTATGATTGTCATTTCCTAAGTTTTTAATGGTGTTTTAGGTAACACTGGATATTACTAAAATGTGTTTGCAGTTTGCTGTCTGGTTTGAACTGTTGCCAAGTAATGTATGTGTCAAAGTTTGGTTTTGATTTTCAAAAAAATTGAAACATACAATATAATCTTTGCTACAGGGGCAGTGACTTAGTGATGAAGGTGTCCTCCCTCCTGAGTCAGTCTGGGTCCACTAAAGAGAGAAAGGAGGTCCAATATGCTGGTGATCAACACAGGCAAGTCATTGAAAGAGTTGTCTCCCCTTGACTGCATGGGCAGATTTTATTCGGTTCTGTTCGGAATCAAATACACACAATGCCACTTTGGAATTTTGTGAAAATCAAATTTAATATGTGGGATGGAAACTTAAACTGGCAATCTTAGTGGATAGCTTTTACTTATTTACTCACTGCTACTTACTTCATGATTGCAGTGATGTATTTTCTGAAATGGCTCCTTATATTCAAGTTGCAATTTACAACACTTATTTATTAACTCATGAAGAATTTACTATATATATATAGTTCATGATAAAATGAATTTGTGAAGAAGTTCTCTTTGGTCAATAATAATGAACTGTTTCTCTCCACAGTGTGATAAAACTGCCAGGCAATCCTGGTGCACCTGCTTACCAATTAGATGTTATCATTGATCCAGCATCAAGAGAAGCCCAGAAAATGTCTGCCATCCTCATGGTGAATATTTATAATAAACCTACTCAAACTATCCTTACTTAACATAACATTTCTTACCTAGAAACCAGCAGTTCATGCAAGTAAAAATGGATTGAGAAATTCAATCATATCAGTTTTGTTTTGACTTGATCAAATTTTGAAATTGAATTTGTCATTTGTAGAAAGTTAATGCAGCTTTTCTGAACATCTTACAATATTAAAATTCTCTCTACACCTCCCCCCCCCCATTTCTCTCTCTTACTCTCCCTCTTTCTTTCTCTGTCTGTCTGTCTGTCTGTCTCTGTCTCTGTCTCTCTGTCTCTGTCTCTGTCTCTGTCTCTCTCTCTCTCTCTCTCTCTCTCTCTCTCTCTCTCTCTCTCTCTCTCTCTCTCTCTCTCTGTCTCTCTCTCTCTCTCTCTCTGTCTCTCTCTGTCTCTCTCTCTCTCTGTCTCTGTCTCTCTCTCTCTCTCTCTCTCTCTCTCTCTCTCTCTCTCTCTCTCCCCATTTTACAAGAAAGGAATGGTCTGATGTCATTATGATGCTTTCTCTTCCCTTCTCACATGGAGGACATTCATCTTACTGCTAAACAGGATATTTTGAAATGATACCATTTTTTGATGTTCTTGCTGCAGATTCTGAAAGAAGTCGCGAATGTGGACCTGAGGATATATATGAATTGTAAAGATAAACTGTCTGAGTTACCTGTGATAACGTAAGTAAAACTTAGGTTTTACATTAAGAATGAAATTATAGATATTTCTTAATTCATTTACCAAGTATTTTCTTCAATCATATAGGAGTTAGCAATTTCAATAATGCAGTAAATAACTTGTATTTAACTCATGCCTGTTGATAAGTCCCTATCATTTGAAGCCCAGAAGAATCAATTTCCATGTCCTGCTATAAACAAACCATCCCTTGGCTTTGGGTGAAGATTTTTATGTTGATTCTCAAAGGGCTATTACCAGAGGATGGGGTGGGGGAAGGGGTGGAAAAAAGGGCAAAAAGGGAAAAGTTATATTTAATACTTAGTTAGGAGCATCAAAAAATGAATTTGGTGGTACTAATTGGAGTTCTAAGGTAGATACTTATGCAGTATTAAGACAATAGTTATCATTATCTGTATCAGCGATAAGGTCCAGAGGTTACACCAGTAAATATTTACCAAATTTATAACAAATTTAAGCAAGAGAAAATGTTTAAAGAAAAAAGGCCAGATTTAAAATTGTGTTCTTTATTTTATTATCAAGGTTTTACCGATATGTGTTGGAGCCATCCATAACATTTAAAGTAGACGGGTCATATTCGGAAGGCCCCATGGCCAAATTCACGGACATGCCTACCAAGTCCCTGCTTACACTGGGAATGAACCCCTCTGAAAGCTGGTTAGTCGAGGCAGTTACGGCCCCTTATGATCTTGACAACATCTTGTTAGAGGAGGTAGGTGAAAAAAATTGGTATCTGCTGTCGCATGTGACAGCCAATACAAGATTACACTTACTACAAACGTAACTGTCAAAGCCCGTGACAGCCAATATAAGGTTACACTCACTACAAACATAACTGTCAAAGCCCGTGACAGCCAATACAAGGTTACACTTACTACAAACGTAACTGTCAAAGCCCATGACAGCCAATACAAGGTTACACTTACTACAAACGTAACTGTCAATGCATGTGACAGCCAATACAAGGTTACACCCACTACAAATGTAACTGTCAAAGCATGTGACAGCCAATACAAGGTTACACCCACTACAAATGTAACTGTCAAAACATGTGACAGCCAATACAAGGTTACACTTACTACAAACGTAACTGTCAAAGCCCGTGACAGCCAATATAAGGTTACACTCACTACAAACATAACTGTCAAAGCCCGTGACAGCCAATACAAGGTTACACTTACTACAAACGTAACTGTCAAAGCCCATGACAGCCAATACAAGGTTACACTTACTACAAACGTAACTGTCAATGCATGTGACAGCCAATACAAGGTTACACTCATTACAAACAACACCCAATACACATGACAGCCTATAAAATTACACTCACTACAATGCTAACTATGACTTCAAGTCAACCACCTGCAAAGTGTAATTTCATAACAAACCAAGCTCAAATCATTCTAAAAATTTCGCTGTAATATTTTTCTGTCCAGTGACTTATTGTTATCTGTATCCAATGCTGCTTAAATGAAAGATTTCACAAATGGAAATGTATATCCTTTTCAATTTTTTTCATTCTCTGGACTTTTTTCATGATCAGAAAGCTTTTGTTCTTTAAATATTGAAATCTGCCTGGTTCCCTTTAAAAGCGCAAACTGTGAATAATGCCAGTAAAGACATTTAAGAAAACACCTTGAAAAAGAAAATACATGTGATTTTTTTTTTAGCAGGGAGTTGTCAGAGTGAATGTTTTAATCTATCGTATCCTAATCTGTACTCCCTCTGCCTTATTTCTTTAGACCAAGTCTGGAATACACGCTGACTTTGACTTGGAGTACATACTGTTGGAAGGTAAGTTCATGTGACATTGTAGACAACAGTTGGCAAAATCTGGAAATGTCTTTAAAGTGCAAAAGCTACTGTAACATAACATCCAATTTCATATCGTTGTTATATAATATATTACAATTTTAATCATTCTGCCCTTTGGTTTGTGAAGATCAATTTTCAATTACTGCTGTTGTTATCACTTGACCTAAATGTGAAAGAGAGGATGACTTGTTCAAGAAATATAGATTGTTTTTTTTTAGTTTTATACACAAAAATCCTCCAAACATTGATTTAAGGATTTAGGAGTGGAGAGGTGCCAATAGTATAGCTTTTTAATTCTGTCTTGTATACTCTGTACAGGTCATTGTTCTGACAGTACGACAGGACAACCTCCTAGAGGACTTCAGTTTACACTGGGCCGTAACCAGACAGAGGCTGCTGTAGACACCATCGTCATGGCAAATCTGGTATTTACTATTATGTGGTATATTTTGATGTGACCAAACCTTTCATCTATGACAATAGTTAACATGTTAGATCTATCCTGATTTAATGCTGTGGGGCCAACACTAACCTCTCACTCAAGGGGCAGAAATGGACTTATTATCGGACACTTATATAGCATATACGGTCATTATTGCTAAATTTCAAATCTTTTTCTTGGTAAAGCGTAAAGAGAATCCGGTTTATTAAATGGCATTATAGAAAGGGTTTTAATATTTCTTGTTCTGTTTCTAGGGCTACTTCCAGCTAAAGGCTAACCCTGGTACCTGGTTCCTGAAACTCCGAGAGGGACGGTCATTGGAACTCTACGATATTGCAAGGTATTGTCAAACATTATCTGATGATATTATGATGTTGTAGTTTTTCAACATTTTAGCTTGAAGGCCTTGAATTAGATTTGCTGAATTTTAGAAATATACATGTTAAAATGTTTGTTCCAACAGATGCTCACGGAACAGTTTCCCTGTTGTAGAAGTCTTAAGAAATAAACATGTTAAGTATTAGGTCAGAATTACCTTGTTCACAGAACACTTTTTCTCAGCAGTCCCTGATGAAACTTGACACCTCCTTGTGACTTGTGGGTCTTTAAAGAAAAGAGAGAGCTTGGCATATCTCATGAACTCCTCAACAGATACACTTTCAACATAAACCATTATATCATCAATTGCTACTGTACATCTGTTTGAGTGGCAGTATAATTGATCGAAGGTCACACCTGACTGCTTTTGTAAAAAAAAATATGACATGAGAAATGTCATGAAAATCACACAAGCCACTTCCTGATCGGAGGGGGATGTGTTAATGTTAGTGTTAGCCCCTTGACATTTGCTATGGTGAGTCATATGCTGTTTTTATATTCAGTCTATTTTTTCTTTATTTTATAAAGCCATGAGTTCACAGACACACCTGCTGGATCTGATGATGTTGTTGTAGTGATGAACAGCTTCAAGAGTAAAATTATCAGAATTAAAGTAAGTCATTCAGAGAAAAAGATGTACATATATATAATGTTATGGAAATACCCCAAACTTGATTAGTTTAAAAATTAGAGTTCAAAGTTATTTTGAATATATACAGAATTCATTAGCATGAAATCTGCTACAGTAAATAGCCAGGCTTTACTTAAGTGACACAAAATTAATTAGATAAAATTATATAGATGTTTTTTTTGGAAATTCTCCAAATTTTTTAAGTTTTCAGATTAATGGTCACAAAAAGAGAAAGAAGGAAATATACAGAGATCGTTGGTACAAAGTTTACAAGAAATGTACAGAGTTTCATATTATTATTACATACAGCAAATCACAGTGTTGTGTATATGTCTATATTTTTACTCATTATAGATACCTCTCTTCATTTAGTTTTTTTACACCGAGTTTTCCTTTGAATTTTAGAATTAGGTATATTGAAATACCTATGTCTGTAATTCCAGGTTGCTAAAAAGCCAGAGAAAAGTGAAGAACAGTTATTGGTAGATGATCAGGAGCGAGGAATATGGGAGTCAATTTCAAGGTAATGTACTTGTTTTTAGTGAAGATATGTCTTCAAGATAAGCTTATGTCAGTCAGGTGTTAATAGTTTGTGACAAATAAATCAATCCTGCACACATACAAGTGATAATGATTTTCTCTATTTCATAATTGTATAAGAACTACTACTGTTATTTTCTATCAGTTCATGTACAATTATGTATTTTTCCTGTCTCTAGCACACTGACGGGGGACAAAGCAGAGGAAGACGATGACAAGACACTCAATATATTTTCACTGGCCTCGGGACATATGTATGAGAGGCTGATGAGGTGGGTATAGAGACCAAAACCAATACATAGACCAATCAATGAGTTACAATCAAATTTTGTAATTACATGTATGTGTTCCCTTAATGTAATACGTTTACAAAGGCTTGTAATTGTCCATTTGTGTTTATATGAATATTCATGAGATACTTATTTCAATTTGCAATTTTATCTTTGATGTTTAATGAGTATAAATCATACATCATTTTTGGCCACAGATTTGCATAATGGAAACAGTTTCATAAATTTTTTAAATGAAAGATAATATCCATACTCCCGAGCATCTGATTATAAAGTTTAGCTAGATAGAAATAATGAAAGTGTTTAAATGATTATGACTGATAGTTCTGACAATGATAACTTACTTTTCAGGATCATGATGATGAGTGTATTGAAAAATACAAAGTCGAAAGTGAAATTTTGGTTTTTGAAAAATTATTTATCACCATCATTTAAGGTAAGTAAACACACTGAACTGTATTGTTTTATATTCCTTTGTACAAAATCATAATTAATAGACCATATTAACAGGAATTGACTTCTGTGAAATATCATCTGGTAGAATGTAAACATTCTACAGCTTATGTATTGTATACACTGATAACACTGTCGCTCCCCAGGAGGTTTTGTTTTGGTCTATTCCAGTAAATCCATCGCTCCCCAACAGATTTTGCTTAGGTCTATTCCAGTAAAACATCCATCACTCCCCAGGAGGTTTTGTTTATTTCTATTCCAGTAAAACATCCATCGCTCCCCAGGAGGTTTTGTTTAGGTCTATTCCTGTAAAACATCCATCACTCCCCAGGAGGTTTTGTTGCGGTCTATTCCAGTTAAACATCCATCACTCCCCAGGAGGTTTTGTTTAGGTCTATTCCAGTAAAACATCCATCACTCCCCAGGAGGTTTTGTTTAGGTTTATTCCAGTAAAACATCCATCGCTCCCCAGGAGGTTTTGTTTAGTTCTATTCCAGTAAAACATCCATCACACCCCAGGAGGTTTTGTTTAGGTCTATTCCAGTAAAACATCCATCGCTCCCCAGGAGGTTTTGTTTAGGTCTATTCCAGTAAAACATCCATCGCTCCCCAGGAGGTTTTGTTTAGGTTTATTCCAGTAAAACATCCATCACACCCCAGGAGGTTTTGTTTAGGTCTATTCCAGTAAAACATCCATCGCTCCCCAGGAGGTTTTGTTTAGGTTTATTCCAGTAAAACATCCATCGCTCCCCAGGAGGTTTTGTTTAGGTCTATTCCAGTAAAACATCCATCACACCCCAGGAGGTTTTGTTTAGGTCTATTCCAGTAAAACATCCATCGCTCCCCAGGAGGTTTTGTTTCGGTCTATTCCAGTAAAACATCCATCACTCCCCAGGAGGTTTTGTTTTGGTTTATTCCAGTAAAACATCCATCACACCCCAGGAGGTTTTGTTTTGGTTTATTCCAGTAAAACATCCATCGCTCCCCAGGAGGTTTTGTTTCGGTCTATTCCAGTAAAACATCCATCACTCCCCAGGAGGTTTTGTTTTGGTTTATTCCAGTAAAACATCCATCGCTCCCCAGGAGGTTTTGTTTAGGTCTATTCCAGTAAAACATCCATCACTCCCCAGGAGGTTTTGTTTCGGTCTATTCCAGTAAAACATCCATCACTCCCCAGGAGGTTTTGTTTAGGTCTATTCCAGTAAAACATCCATCACACCCCAGGAGGTTTTGTTTAGGTCTATTCCAGTAAAACATCCATCGCTCCCCAGGAGGTTTTGTTTAGTTCTATTCCAGTAAATCCTTCGCTCCCCAGGAGGTTTTGTTTAGGTTTATTCCAGTAAAACATCCATCACTCCCCAGGAGGTTTTGTTTTGGTTTATTCCAGTAAAACATCCATCACTCCCCAGGAGGTTTTGTTTAGGTCTATTCCAGTAAAACATCCATCACTCCCCAGGAGGTTTTGTTTTGGTTTATTCCAGTAAAACATCCATCGCTCCCCAGGAGGTTTTGTTTTGGTTTATTCCAGTAAAACATCCATCACTCCCCAGGAGGTTTTGTTTTGGTTTATTCCAGTAAAACATCCATCACACCCCAGGAGGTTTTGTTTTGGTTTATTCCAGTAAAACATCCATCACTCCCCAGGAGGTTTTGTTTAGGTCTATTCCAGTAAAACATCCATCGCTCCCCAGGAGGTTTTGTTTAGGTCTATTCCAGTAAAACATCCATTGCTCCCCAGGAGGTTTTGTTTAGGTTTATTCCAGTAAAACATCCATCACTCCCCAGGAGGTTTTGTTTAGGTCTGTTCCAGTAAATCCTTCGCTCCCCAGGAGGTTTTGTTTAGTTCTATTCCAGTAAATCCTTCGCTCCCCAGGAGGTTTTGTTTAGGTCTATTCCAGTAAAACATCCATCATTCCCCAGGAGGTTTTGTTTTAGTTTATTCCAGTAAAACATCCATCGCTCCCCAGGAGGTTTTGTTTAGGTCTATTCCAGTAAAACATCCATCACACCCCAGGAGGTTTTGTTTTGGTTTATTCCAGTAAAACATCCATCACTCCCCAGGAGGTTTTGTTTAGGTCTATTCCAGTAAAACATCCATCACTCCCCAGGAAGTTTTGTTTTAGTTTATTCCAGTAAAACATCCATCGCTCCCCAGGAGGTTTTGTTTAGGTCTATTCCAGTATAACATCCATCACTCCCCAGGAGGTTTTGTTTAGGTCTATTCCAGTAAAACATCCATCACTCCCCAGGAGGTTTTGTTTAGATTTATTCCAGTATAACATCCATCACTCCCCAGGAGGTTTTGTTTAGGTTTATTCCAGTATAACATCCATCACTCCCCAGGAGGTTTTGTTTAGGTCTATTCCAGTAAAACATCCATCACTCCTCAGGAGGTTTTGTTTAGGTCTGTTCCTGTAAAACATCCATCACTCCCCAGGAGGTTTTGTTTAGTTCTATTCCAGTAAAACATCCATCACTCCCCAGGAGGTTTTGTTTAGGTCTATTCCAGTAAAACATCCATCGCTCCCCAGGAGGTTTTGTTTAGGTCTATTCCAGTAAAACATCCATTGCTCCCCAGGAGGTTTTGTTTAGGTCTATTCCAGTAAATCCATTGCTCCCTAGGAGGTTTTGTTTAGGTCTGTTCCTGTAAAACATCCATCACTCCCCAGGAGGTTTTGTTTAGTTCTATTCCAGTAAATCCTTTGCTCCCCAGGAGGTTTTGTTTAGGTTTATTCCAGTAAAACATCCATCACTCCCCAGGAGGTTTTGTTTAGGTCTATTCCAGTAAAACATCCATCGCTCCCCAGGAGGTTTTGTTTAGGTCTATTCCAGTAAAACATCCATCGCTCCCCACGAGGTTTTGTTTAGGTCTATTCCAGTAAATCCTTTGCTCCCCAGGAGGTTTTGTTTAGGTCTATTCCAGTAAAACATCCATCGCTCCCCAGGAGGTTTTGTTTAGGTCTATTCCAGTAAAACATCCATCACTCCCCAGGAGGTTTTGTTTAGGTCTATTCCAGTAAAACATCCATCGCTCCCCAGGAGGTTTTGTTTAGGTCTATTCCATTAAAACATCCATCGCTCCCCAGGAGGTTTTGTTTAGGTCTATTCCAGTAAAACATCCATCACTCCCCAGGAGGTTTTGTTTAGTTCTATTCCAGTAAATCCTTTGCTCCCCAGGAGGTTTTGTTTAGGTCTATTCCAGTAAAACATCCATCACTCCCCAGGAGGTTTTGTTTAGGTTTATTCCAGTAAAACATCCATCACTCCCCAGGAGGTTTTGTTTAGGTCTATTCCAGTAAAACATCCATCGCTCCCCAGGAGGTTTTGTTTAGGTCTATTCCAGTAAAACATCCATCGCTCCCCAGGAGGTTTTGTTTAGGTCTATTCCAGTAAATCCTTTGCTCCCCAGGAGGTTTTGTTTAGGTCTATTCCAGTAAAACATCCATCACTCCCCAGGAGGTTTTGTTAAGGTCTATTCCAGTAAAACATCCATCACTCCCCAGGAGGTTTTGTTTAGTTCTATTCCAGTAAATCCATTGCTCCCCAGGAGGTTTTGTTTAGTTCTATTCCAGTAAATTCTTTGCTCCCCAGGAGGTTTTGTTTAGGTCTATTCCAGTTAAACATCCATCACTCCCCAGGAGGTTTTGTTTAGTTCTATTCCAGTAAAACATCCATCACTCCCCAGGAGGTTTTGTTTAGGTTTATTCCAGTAAAACATCCATCACTCCCCAGGAGGTTTTGTTTTGGTTTATTCCAGTAAAACATCCATCACTCCCCAGGAGGTTTTGTTTAGGTCTATTCCAGTAAAACATCCATCACTCCCCAGGAGGTTTTGTTTTGGTTTATTCCAGTAAAACATCCATCACTCCCCAGGAGGTTTTGTTTAGGTCTGTTCCAGTAAAACATCTGTCGCTCCCCAGGAGGTTTTGTTTAGGTCTGTTCCAGTAAAACATCCATCACTCCCCAGGAGGTTTTGTTTAGTTCTATTCCAGTAAATCCATTGCTCCCTAGGAGGTTTTGTTTAGTTCTATTCCAGTAAAACATCCATCGCTCCCCAGGAGGTTTCGTTTAGTTCTATTCCAGTAAATCCATTGCTCCCCAGGAGGTTTTGTTTAGGTCTATTCCAGTAAAACATCCATCACTCCCCAGGAGGTTTTGTTTAGGTCTGTTCCAGTAAAACATCTGTCACTCCCCAGGAGGTTTTGTTTAGGTCTGTTCCAGTAAAACATCCATCGCTCCCCAGGAGGTTTTGTTTAGGTCTATTCCAGTAAAACATCTGTCACTCCCCAGGAGGTTTTGTTTAGGACTATTCCAGTAAAACATCCATCACTCCCCAGGAGGTTTTGTTTAGGTCTGTTCCAGTAAAACATCTGTCACTCCCCAGGAGGTTTTGTTTAGGTCTGTTCCAGTAAAACATCCATCGCTCCCCAGGAGGTTTTGTTTAGTCTGTTCCAGTAAAACATCTGTCACTCCCCAGGAGGTTTTGTTTAGGTCTGTTCCAGTAAAACATCCATCGCTCCCCAGGAGGTTTTGTTTAGGTCTATTCCTGTGAAACATCCATCACTCCCCAGGAGGTTTTGTTTAGTTCTATTCCAGTAAATTCTTTGCTCCCCAGGAGGTTTTGTTTAGGTCTATTCCAGTTAAACATCCATCACTCCCCATGAGGTTTTGTTTAGTTTTTTCCAGTAAATCCTTTGCTCCCCAGGAGGTTTTGTTTAGGTCTATTCCAGTAAAACATCCATCACTCCCCAGGAGGTTTTGTTTAGGTCTATTCCAGTAAAACATCTGTCGCTCCCCAGGAGGTTTTGTTTAGGTCTGTTCCAGTAAAACATCCATCACTCCCCAGGAGGTTTTGTTTAGGTCTATTCCAGTAAAACATCTGTCGCTCCCCAGGAGGTTTTGTTTAGGTCTGTTCCAGTAAAACATCCATCACTCCCCAGGAGGTTTTGTTTAGTTCTATTCCAGTAAAACATCTGTCACTCCCCAGGAGGTTTTGTTTAGGTCTATTCCAGTAAAACATCCATCACTCCCCAGGAGGTTTTGTTTAGGTCTATTCCAGTAAAACATCCATCACTCCCCAGGAGGTTTTGTTTAGGTCTATTCCAGTAAAACATCCATCACTCCCCAGGAGGTTTTGTTTAGTTCTATTCCAGTAAATCCTTTGCTCCCCAGGAGGTTTTGTTTAGGTCTATTCCAGTAAATCCATTGCTCCCCAGGAGGTTTTGTTTAGGTCTATTCCAGTAAATCCATTGCTCCCCAGGAGGTTTTGTTTAGGTCTGTTCCTGTAAAACATCCATCGCTCCCCAGGAGGTTTTGTTTAGGACTATTCCAGTAAAACATCCATCACTCCCCAGGAGGTTTTGTTTAGGACTATTCCAGTAAAACATCCATCGCTCCCCAGGAGGTTTTGTTTAGGTCTATTCCAGTAAAACATCCATCACTCCCCAGGAGGTTTTGTTTAGGTCTATTCAGTAAAACATCCATCGCTCCCCAGGAGGTTTTGTTTAGGTCTATTCCAGTAAAACATCTATCTCACCTCAGGACTCAAGGTTTTCTTTATATTGTTTGAGGCTATCTTCCATAGAAATTAATTGATAGGTGTTTTACTGGTATAGCCCCAATCACTTTACTTAAAATCTGGTCGGTATTTGGTGTACATAAGAGATGTTCAATGTTTTGGGTCCATGGTCATATAATAGAGTATATAATATTACTCATCCTATCATGCTTTAATGTCTTGCAGTCATATTCTAGTTAAGGTCATGTTTTATTAGAACTGTTTTTCAGTTTTTTTCATAATGTCTTTCAAAATATTAATGATCGAATGTAAAATGTTCAAATTTTAAAACAAATACCTGACTTTGTTAAGTCGTATGTGTTTAGGTTTTATTTTCTAATGTTATACATACATGTGTTTCTTTTCATTTTAGGATTTTATACCAAAGATGGCACAGGAGTATAATTTTGAATTTGAATTAGTACAGTACAAATGGCCACGATGGTTAAACCAACAAAAAGAAAAGCAAAGAATTATGTGGGGGTAGGCACTAATTCTATTTCAATATTATTTTCTGAAAATCACAACATTTTTTTCATCGATTCTGGAATTGAAAAGAAAAACTTTGATTTTATGCTAAACATTTGAAAAACTTTGTGTGAAAGTTTTAAGTTTTAGGAAGTTAAAGAAATGTTTTAGGAATGTGTATAATATTTTCACTATAATTTCATCAATTACTGCTTTAAAACAAGAGGTATACATTTCAGAAAAATCTTAGAATCTTTGTTTTTATTATTATTTTTTTTTTTTCTTTTTTCAGGTATAAAATTTTATTTTTGGATGTACTGTTTCCATTGGACGTAAAGAAAATTATTTTTGTTGATGCTGACCAGGTATGTACGAGATATTTTTATCATTTTTTTGCTTATTTCTATTCATTTGTATTCTATTTTTATTTTACTTACAAAAATGTTTTTTGGGGGGAGAGGGTTTGTTTTTTGAGGGGAGAGGGGTTATTTTTTGGGGGGAGAGGGGTAACTTTCCATTTCTCAAGATCTTTAGGTACATATGCATTGCACAGGACATTAACACATGCACACATCATCGTCATCATCATCATCTGCTTATTACAAGAACATAAAGCATAAGATGCAAATGGTAAAATTGACAATATATTTGAAGGCCAGGTAGATAATGTTTCCCTCTTCCATTCTGTATGTGATCTAATGTTTCAGTTCTCATTTTGTCATACGTCATCTTCACATGATGAATATTCTATACGTATTACAGAATTTTATTATTATTTTTTTTATTTCACTGAAGAAAAATAAATTCAGAAATCCAAAGATCCAAATCATTCTGTGGAATTTTGTAATCAGATTTCCTTTTTATTTACATGTGTGAATCTCACATAAGTGATATTTACAAAATAATATTTCTGTTGGTTTATATTTTTCTGGTTTTACCAAAAGCATGAATAATAAAGAATATATTTATATTATCCTTGCATATAGTGAAAATTAAAACCCTCAAAAATTATAGCCTTTACAGTAATGTGTGGATCTCTTTAAAAAAAAAAAAAAAAAAAACCTGTTGTGGTTTCAAGTACAAACCTTGTGTGACTGTGTCTGAAAATTTGTCCTTTATTGTAGATTGTACGAACAGATCTACAGGAGCTGAATGACCTTGACTTAGGAGGTGCTCCGTATGGTTACACACCTTTTTGCAGCAGTCGTACTGAAATGGATGGATTTAGGTACATTTATAATTACCTTATATCATGTCACAGTAGTCAGAAGAAAATCTTATATTAACTTGAAGGTGACGTAGACAGATTTAGAAATTATTTAACAATGAAAGTTTGTAATTTGGTTTAATTTTCACTCTTGATTAGTAACAGTGAAATATTCATTTTTTATTTGTTTATCACTATACGTTATGCAACTTTCTATCAGGAACTATCGTGAAGGACCAGGCCATAAAATACACATGGTTAAATCTAGATTCATTTTGTTGTCTCTTGTATTTTTCAGATTTTGGAAGTCTGGTTATTGGGCCAGCCATTTAGCTGGTAGAAAATATCACATTAGGTAAGATACAACAGCTTTATACTTTAAACTGTAGTAGAATTTCAGTTATAGACAGCTTCAATTTTGTAAGTGTGATGACAGCTTCACTGGTCTTGTTCATTGAGTTATGTCCCTTTGTTTTAACCATAATATGATAGATTTATACGTCTGTGCTGTATCTTGTCATTTCATTGATTGCCAAATTTAACATATGATTCCTTATCTGATAGCAACAGATTCTGTAATGAGATGAGGTCTGATTAATCATTAACCAACTTTAATTCAGAAGTTTTAGAGTAAGAAATGTTTTCTAAGTTATAAAAGACTGCCATTAAAACTGCTTCATTGTGTGTGGGACTTTTTCTTAGAAAATTATATTTGATTTTTCAATAGACCATACCTTCCAATATCTTGCAAGTAATTTTCTGTGCTTTTGACATTTGCAGAATTCCCTTTCAAGATTATTTTCAGTGATCGGCAAACTTTTCAGTATTCTGTCCTTTTGATGTTTCAGTGCCTTATACGTGGTAGATTTGAAAAAGTTCAGGCGTATTGCTGCAGGCGACCGTCTGCGCGGCCAGTACCAGGGGCTGAGTCAAGACCCTAACAGTTTATCTAACCTTGATCAGGATCTCCCAAACAACATGATCCACCAGGTGGCCATAAAATCTCTGCCTCAGGAGTGGCTCTGGTGCGAAACCTGGTGCAGCAACGAGTCCAAGGCTAAAGCCAAAACTATAGATTTGGTGAGTTGTCTCCCCTGTCTGTTTCTATACAATCTGACATTTTGTTTACTTCTTTTTAGAAAACCGTGTTTATGAAACTGCTTTACCTGGGGTTACAATTTTCTGATGGATCTCGTCTTTACTTTGAGAACAATCTTTCAGGTTTTTAGCCTTGGGGAGGATTCTAAGTTGCCAAACATCAGGCATGCCTCATGTTTGAGATCATAAGAAATTTTTACAAAGAAAAATCATCATTGCTGGATGGGATATCTAATTTCTCAATTCATTCCCTAGTAGCCAACATTTATCAAGTTATCACCCAAGTCAGTCTATATTTCTGTGTTCTCCATCCTGCCTGTGAACATTGAATGAGTCATCTCCCTTGTCAGTCTATTTTCCGGGTTCTTATTAATTTTTGATTAGTTGTCTCCCCGTCAGTGAACTCTAATTCATTTAGTGAGTTATCTCCAATTTTATGATAACTTCGGTGTATGAAAACAGTATCATGTGAAGTGTTCTTTTTTTCAGTGCAATAATCCCCAGACCAAGGAACCAAAGTTAAAGGCAGCACTCCGTATTGTACCAGAATGGAAGAATTATGACTATGAAATAAAAATATTATGGGACAAAGTTTACAATACTAATACAAGATCTCAGATAGAATATGACCCTCCAGATATAGAAACAGCATCAATAGGTACGTATATGTACTGGGTAACATTGGTATACAAATCAATTGTTTCTTGTTGGTAATTTGATTATTTATCAATGTGCCAAGCTGTGTTTGACAGTAAAATCTGTTTAATCTGACATGAGTATTGAAACAACCTGTTTGATTTGACCTTAGTAGTCTGATATCTTGTCATATCTGAACTCATAATTTGCTTACATCCTGTCTAATCACTCAGCAGAATTTTCAGATACTATTTTTTTATGAAATTTGACACTTTGTTGAAGTTATTGAGAAAACATTTTAATTCCCCTATTGAAATTTAAGTATGAAATGTTTTATTAAAATTTGTTTTATACTTTTCTTTACAGGGTCAAAAATTAAGGATGAGTTATAATATTTGGAGAAGTAACAGCAATGAGGACATATGAAATGTGTGTAAGAATATGTGCTTTATGAGATAAATGCTTGTGTGTACATGTTAATGCTGAGAGTGTGAGGAGAGTGAATATGAAACATGACGGTCTTATTTCAATTGAAGAATATCTTGAACTCAACTCCAATACTTAGAATATGCCATCTTATACCATCAACATAATCTTCATAAAAAGTCTAGGCCCAGTCCAGTACTGACATTTCCCCAGCCTATATCCCCTCTATAGACTTTACAAAATCTTCATGCCCAGTCCAATACTGTGTTAATCTCCCAATTTCAATAGGCAAACTGTATGCACGGGGTTATTGTTGACATCAGTGAGCCTTTGCATATAAAATGTCATATAACATTTATTGGGTTGAATTATTTCTGCGTATGAGGTTTAAAGTTTCCACACACCTAAATTTCCACGCTTACAGAATCTGAAAAAAGCATTTACAATGTATTACTTTCTGAAATTAAAAAACATTCCAGTATTGACCATTTTCTGAAGTTGGTGCCCTCTAGGCTGGTCACAAATAAATCTTACTTCTGAAGTAAGTGCTCTCTGGGATGACCATAACCAAATCTTACTTCTGAAGTACGTGCCTTCTGGGATGACCATAACCAAATCTTACTTCTGAAGTAAGTGCCCTCTGGGATGACCATAACCAAATCTTACATCTGAAGTAAGTGCCCTCTGGGATGACCATAACCAAATCTTACTTCTGAAGTAAGTGCCCTCTGGGATGACCATAACCAAATCTTACTTCTGAAGTAAGTGCCCTCTGGGATGACCATAACCAAATCTTACTTCTGAAGTAAGTGCCCTCTGGGATGACCATAACCAAATCTTACTTTCTTAAGTTTGATTGTTGCAAAATGCCCTTATCTAATTGTGTTTACAAAAGTTTCAAGCGTCTTTGAAACTTTCGCTTTAAGTTTTCAGAGTTTAGTATTGGCTTTGATATAACTTTGAAATAACAAACTGGTCAGCAATGTTACTCTGTGTGACCATGGGATGGTTTTCTATAATAAAGTATTGGAGTCGGGTTCAACATTAAGATTAATGGCCATCAAATTATATTCCATTATCAGTTATGAATATTAAATCTACATGGACCAATTTTTGTGGCTGATAAAAATTTGTCCTTTGTTTTCTGATGTTCAATATCAAATCCATCAGTTACATGTTTGTAAAAGGTACATTGGCTGCTTATGTTTACAAGTATCATCAAGAGTAGGAGTATCATTGACTTGTAGTCATTGTCTTTTTCAGACATGATTTTGTTGACAAACAACCTCAAAAGAGTGCTGTGAATAATACTGAATATTTCTCATGCTTGTATAAAGTATCTATATATTTTGGAATCTTCCTTAATTCTAAGTTGATCAGATGATCTCTAGATTTTTTGGTTTACATTTCTAAATATACCATGGTCTTAATAGAATTATAAAATTCTGTCTTAAGCACTGATTTTCACAAAGGGATTGGTTTGGTGATAGTCTACTTGTTGTGTAAAGTCGGTTGCTTGTTGTCATGTGATTGGCAGATGCTTGAATCCAGCACACTGGCAAAATTCATCATAATTGTAGGCTTTCATCTGTAGCTGCATATTAGTCAATGTCACCTGCTATTTCAGCATATGCCAACAATATTTTTGTATCTTTATAGATAAAGGTGAGGTCGTCATTTACATACATTCGGTCTTTTCCGTATATGTACAGTGTATTTGTGAACGTTTTCATTGTACTTGTACAGGGCTTCAGGATTTCATTCTTCCTGGTAACATATTTTTACGATACTAGGCCACTGTTGCTCAAAGTTTCGTTAGAGTTAACCAACAGTTTTTGACAACTTCATATTGTTTCCATTAAAAAGGCAACAGATTTGAAAGGCAAAAGAAACACTTGAAATATATAATATTTCCATGGGACTCAATTTTTGTGTTTTTCACAAAAATCTGTTGCAAAAAAAAAATCTACAGCTTTGAAATGATAAAGAATGTCCCTAGTTTTGTTTCATGTATTTTGTTTAAAGTTTTCACTAAATAGATTATCTCTAACCAGCCTTTGAACAAACTGATGCCAGAACTTGTGACCTCATTTTGGATCCAATGTTGTTATGTATGTAATAGAAAACTTGGTGGGTAGGTCTTTCTTCCATTAATTTGATATAGATACGGTAGCAAAGACCGTAACAGAATCCACTCACTTCAGCTAGTTAGGAAAATAATTGGAATCGGGATGTTTCATCATAGTACATTTACATGTATTGAATAATAAATAATCGTGTTCTTAATTGATCTGGTGAACAATTGTGAAATAAATGATTATGTCAGAAATAATTATGGATTATTTTTGGTATTTTTAAGTTGTTTTCATATTCAATATAAATATTCATCAGATTGTATTTATTGTCATTCTATTTGTCGTCTCAACATCAACTAGATGATAATTTTACCCAATTCTCTAACATCATGATGAATTCATCTGATAAAAATTTCACCTGCTTTATTTACATTTCAGAGTTTGTTGTTTAGAGATATCTCAATTTCATCAAGATTAATATGTTAAATGGATTCTTATCTGTTTATTTACTGTTTTGTTTATGCCAAGACCTGTCTGAATCATGTACTGGTGACAGATTCCTTCAGATCTATATACTGTAAACTCATATATTTTCAAGGGACTCATTTTTTGTGCTTTTCACAAAAATATTTATTTCTTTGACACTTGGTTTCATGAATAAATATAGCTCATTAAAGCTACTTAATAAATACTAATTTCAACATTTTATAGACATATGAATCCTTGATTAAAAGTATCCACTAAAACATTGAACATAAACCCCCCACAAAGATCAATTATTTTATGATAGTAAACATTATCTATGTCTACATATGAAGTGGAGACATCATATTATTGTTATATTGAATATGTCCAAGTTATTTGAATACAACCAAAATTGACTTGGATTTAAGGGGACTCTGGAAATAAATGTAAATATTATGCCATGAATGAACTATACTGAAGAACATTATTAGCAATTCCTTTGTACAGTATACTTGTCTAATTTTGGGGGTTCCTGATTAAAGCTGCTTCAAAGGTATTAAATTTGAATTTTCTTCAGGTTGCTGTGTATTTGATTTCACGCTATCATTATTTACTGCAAATGTAGCAAAATTAAAAACAAACATTAAGTATGAAGTATCTATACTCTTACTTTTTTATATACAAAAATGTAAATAAAAAAAAAACATTTTTCTGAATTCTCCTGTTCATCCTGAATTTTGTTATAATAACATTTAAATGTGTTTATTTCCAAAATGAGCTAATCATACTACAAACCATATGATTTTTACAACCATATTTTAGCACAAAACCAAAACAAAAATACTGAAATGGACCTGAAAAAATGCAAGATTTTCAGTCCTTGAATACAAAATATCAAATGTTTTGTTAAGTCTCCAGATTTTTAACCTGGACTATATCACTAAAAGATATCAACAAAACAATGTTGAAGAGTACATGGATCACAGTGTAATGGTTAAAAGAAGAATATGTGTTCTTCCCTCAGCAAATCATCTATTTTTACTATACTTTCTGAATTATGTCATGAATTTTTAATGGGTTACATATATCCAGTTTGAAATATTTGTGAATTTCTGACTTTATGAATAATATGTTAAATTTTGATTTATGTGATATAACTGGTTTATGCCAATCGTTCATGATATCAGATGTTTACAACTTTGCTTAATTTGTTGAACAATTAATATTGTGTATTTACTTAAAATTTTCATGGTGAATTGAAAATGTGCAAAAATATCTTACTTCAAAAATATAGTTCTAAATTAGTTTATATGGAAACCAATTCATTTTTCCTGATAGTTCTTTTCTTGGAAATAAAATTAAAACAGTGAAATAGAAATGTTTATTTTATTAAATATTTTCCTGGTTTCCTTTAAAATATTAAATGTATGATAACTCTTTATCACAAAACCACCAAAACCATTATATGTTCTTGGTCATGTATAATGTATTTTTCCTACAAATCAAACCTACTTCAGGACTTTATTGTTACATAAAAGTTTAAACGTGTACGAGTGTTATAGGTTTCATGAAATTCCAGTCATATATTCATTAATTGTTTGAAAACTAAGATGAAAACAATAAATCCGAATCATGTCAGTGAGCTTGAGTTTTTGTAAAGTTTATATCCAACAGTTTCCAGAAACAAGGCAGTAATTTTTCACGTGTTATTATATTTGCTTCACTCCTCACTTATCAATGGATGTACATGTGTGACAATGTGCTATTTAGAATGACTTACACATACATATAAAGCTTGAAGTTGAGTTAGGAAATACTCATTTCACAAATTTATTATTCCGTGAACTATTATTTGAAACATATTGATATAATTTTCATCATTTTTTGTAAATTTTGAAACCTCACCGTCACCAATGTAATTCAAGCTGTATGTGTCTTGGATGGTTACTGCTACAGTAGTTATGACCATATTTTACCTTACTGTCAAATTGACATGGATAGGAAAGGATTGAAATCACCCAGAAATACCAGGAACTAGTTTCATTAAGTATCCAATGAGTAACTACCCTATTCTCACAGTACAATCATCTCATATGACAACCTTTGTGATCCAACAGATAAAATATTTCCACTTTTTGTGCTGTGCTATAAAGTACCTGTAATATAGAACATTATGCCCATACCGTTTCGTGGTCTGTTTCAGTTCATTTACTTGTTAACTATACAGATAGGGGACTGTATTATTTTTATGAAGATGTATAATGAGAGTATGGTAAATACATTTTTTCTAGAGTTGTGGCCATTTAACTTCAATAATTTTCATTAATATTTTCACAAAAATATGGTAAGACCAATATTGGAGAGCCTTACCTGATTCCAGTGGGAAGGAAAAAATCTGCAGGCAAACCTGAGACATATCTAATCTAGGAATAAATTGCCACAAATTAATGCCTGCAATTAGATACAATTTCCGATAATTCTACAGAAAATAATAATTATAACTTGTATTTACTTTTGGTGTAAAGAAAAAAAAATTTAAAGCTAATCAGGTGTAGAGACAAAAAAAATACAAACGGGTGAATAAATATAATCAAAACTCAAATCCAATGAAACTTGGGCAAAATATGGACCTTCAAAAGATTTACTGTATCTCCTAAAAAGTACAAGGAGAATAAGACTAGGAGTTCTTGAAGAATAAGCGTCTTCTGCTTCATCAAGGACATCCGCCATATAAATCTTGGTCATTCTCAGTGAGTGATGTCACATTTTCAAATGAGAACAAAGGGGCAGAAAGGAGTAGAATTTGTGAAATCTTAGCAAATCTTGTTGTCCTGAGCCAAAAGTGTAACTTCATATAGATGATCTTTAGGGAAAGGACTGCAAAGTTTGTGAGAATAAAAATAACTAGTCCAAATTTAGCCCTTCTGATATTTGTTACATATTAATCTTTAATAAAGACATGTTTTGTGTTTATGACAACTATATAGGCAAGAAAAAATGTGTAGCCAGATCTTTCATCAAACCCGGATCTTATTACTCGCTGAACCTTCTATGTTCTGAGCTACATGTATAATATGGTTCAATACCTGTGGTAACACTACATTTCGCAGCCTTGATACACATATTTTCCTGTCTCAGAAGTACCACAAGATTTTTTCACATTGTTTTATGTGAGGTTTTTTTAGTTGGATATCTTATTGTATTAGGCAAGGAAAAAAGATTGTGGATAGACTTGAAATTGATCTGATTTTTTGTATACTTTAGCTGTACATGTATCTACTAAGCTTTATTTCAACTTGTAAATGAAAACATGATTTGCTTTATATAAATGTGCAACCCTGGCCTCTGTTTGGCTAAGACATTTTGGACTTCCTCTCAAGAACCACTGGGTGGATCATGTTCAAACTTGGTACAGATGTTTTACACACAGTCCTGCACAAGCGTTGTTACATTTTTGCAACATTTTAAAATTTCCAGATTAATGGCATATATTCCTCAGGTGACCGTTAAGGCTCCTTGGGCCTCTTGGTCACGAAATGCACTTGTACAGCTGTTTACCTTTAAAACGAAAGCTCTCGTTATAAAGAGAACGAAGGCGCTGTTTTAGTTTAGATTAGGGTACAAATTACTGATAGGGTTTAGAAGGACTTCAAAGTATTCGTTAACAAACATTCGGAATTGAATGAAGAATTCATACCCACTCTTGGGTTGAAAGTCTGTTTTAACGTTATGTTCCTATATCATGAATCCCACGTAACCAATGAATCTTCATACCGCTATGGAGGTAACCAATGGACTTTCAGTTATTTAGTTTCATTTTTCGATCAGCTTTGTTTTCAATTTGTGGTGATTTTTTTTTATAATACTGTTTCAAAATGGAACGGTGTCATGGAAACAGAAAAATGATCAATTAGAAAGAATAGCAAAATTACCATATTATAAAAAATTCTTACAAATCGTGTAATGAGATAAGCGGTTAAAATAGTTACACCCTACCAAGAGGCTTCGGTTACACTGAACAAACTATAGTTATTTAAAACCTATTGGTTATCAAGGCATCAAACGGAGAACCAGGAGTTTCTTTGCATCCTTGTAAATTCGTACCAAAAAAATATAATATGTACGTCAACATTGGTTTTTTGAGAAACTGTTGTCAGAAGAAAATCACGAAACACTGAGAGTGAAATCAAATTTCAAATATCTTGTGGCTGAGCGGACCAGAGAATAGGATGATTGGAAATCTAGAGAGATACACAGAATACACTAAAAAGCAAAGTGAAATATACCCACCGAGTATTAATTGTACATCACGGTAAAATCATTCATTTCATTACTGATAGTGCATGTTTTATACATTTCCAGTTCTTTGGTTCGGGAAACCTCTCTCAAACTTAGCACTGATAACGTCACGCGATAGCTTTAACAAAAGGCCCAGAGGGCCTGTATCGCTCACCTGAATCTTTATGACCAACTGTACAATATCTGTGCATATGTTCAACAGTAGATGCTTAAAGCAATATGACAAATTACTCCATATTGGTTATGTCCCTTAGTAGTCAGCCCCCTCATCTGTGCAATGTTGAATTGAGACTTTCTTATGATGTTTCCAGTTAAATATAATTGATAGCTTTCTTTTAAATCAAGAAAAGAAGATGGTCAAACAATATAGCAGAAAAATCCTTAGTTATAGCTGGACGGATGACCCAGGACAGCAGAAGCTTACTTGCCCTTTAGATCGTTGTTTACAAACACAGATACAACATATTTGAGACTTGCACAAGTCAATAATATATAGCAACAATTAAATATGAAGACAGGGAAAATTAAGGTACATGTAATTATAATCCATAATTCTAACTCAAAACCAAAAATGAAACGTT